AAATGAAAGTTAGCCATTGTTTGGCAGATGATTGGTGGATGAGGGAACGAATGAATGAATGAACACATTCATGGATGAATGGGTGAGACTAAGCTGGAGGTAGCCAAATCTTCCATCGATTTGAAGTGATATAATATTGGATATTTCTTTTTTTCACCCCAGGTTCACTAGCTTTTGGCCTCCTATGGACTTAGCATTTGTTTTATTGGATTCCTCATGTAAAGAGGACTTTTTTGAAATGAGCATGTCCTTGGCTAACTTTAATAACTTAATTTCAATTATAAAACATTTAGGATAATTTTGTAAGAAATGTCTATCAAGATATTATTATATGCAGCCCTGGCAGGGTAGCTCAGTTGGCTAGAACACCATCCTAATACACCAAGGTTGTGGGTTTGATTCCATGTCAGGACACATACTAGAATCAACCAATGTACGCATAAATAAGTGGAACGAAAAATCAATGTTTCTCTCTCTCTCTCTTCTTCTTCTCTCTAAAATCAATCAATAAAAATATTTTAAAAATATTATATACAAAGTTTCTGGTTCTCTCACACTTTTGGCTTTGGTTCAGAAGGTTAAGAACAAAATAGCTGAGAAACACCCCACCTTTTATGAGACTGAAGCGCTACCTACTGCGCTAATGAGGCACCTACACCCCACCTTTTAAAGAGAGGTGCTTGGCCATTCATGTGTGGAAGGGCGCTGTGGTCAATAGCCTGGGCTCTGGGTTTGGAATGCCCGAGTCCAAATCCCGACTCTGCCCTAACCATCTTGTGACCAGGGAAAGATTCATGAATCTTTCCAGGACTCCGTTTCCTCATCCGTAAAATAAAGATGATCAAAGCCACCACCACAATGGTGAGGATTCAAGGAGATAATAATAACCCATGGAAAGTGTTCAGCACAGTGTCTGGCACTTACAAAAACCCAGTGAATATTAGCCATTGTTACTGCTATGCATCATTAGCACCTCACCCACCCTCAGGCATATAAAAGGAGAAACATTCTTTAGGTATGATTGTTAAAACGCGGGTATTTTTCCAGTACCCTCATGGGGGAACAGAAGGAAGCTTTTGCCCTCAACTCAAACTAAGTGAGGAGGGCTTCCTTAAGCCACCAGAGTTTGAGCTGTGTCCCCAGAGCTGGAGGGACTCAAGGACTGACACCCAGTACGTACCTAGGAAAAGCCTAAAGTTGGGAAGAGATAGCTAGATGGGTCTGAGTGGGGAGAGCAAAGAGAGTTGTTTGTGTTGGGGGTGCCTTCATGTTCAGAGTTTAAAAGGGAAAGGATTTATGTACATTTTTCTTGGGCTGGTTGTGATTTTGTGGAGAGGGAGTTGGCTAGTAGTTTTCTTGGAAAGGATCCTGTCCCATGGTCTTCTGCCAGGAGAGAGATGGCCTCAGCCAGTAAGGTTCAAACATACCAAGATGTCCAGGAGCTGAGGAGGCTTCAACTATGTCAAGGGAACTATAGTTAAAAGAATTCCACCCCCCCCCCAACACTACATAATCTCTCACAAGAGGAAAAATTAGCATTGGAAACCTGCTGAAACTTTGATCCTTGTCCTTGAAGTATCACGGAGACCAAGGAGCAGGGTAGAGGAGTCTCAGGAGCTATATCCTTAAGCATAGACCTTCCCACTTAACTGTCTTCTCCCCCACCAACACCTGCCACCCACTGGCAAACACTTGGGCGGTTTATCAGGGAAGAATGAAAGCACAATAGGAGAACTGCACCTGCAGATCAAGATGGATGCAAAAAGACCCTGTTGGGAAACTCTCTCTGAGTGGAGCAGTAGAGACACATTGTCATTCTTCCAGTATCTTTAAAAAAGATAAAATATATTGCATCCACCAAAATAACATGATGAGATGTTTAAAACATGAATAGAAAGAGCAGGGCTCTTGGACACTGCCCCCCCACACCCTGCTACCCAACCACCGAAAGGCTGTCCTCACCCTCCAGACGACCTTGCTTTCCTGGCAACAGAGCATGCAAACACCTGCACCCGCCATTTCCTGTCCACCACCACTCACAGTGCAGCTACTTGTGTCAATTTTATTTTGTAAGCGTGGGCGATGGGCACTGTTGCTGTATTATATGCAGCCACGTTTTATGCAGATGTGTTGACTGGCTGATGGAGGCGAGAGCCACACATTTTGGCTGCCATGTGTGGTATCCTTCTCAACAAAAGGTGGTTCTTCGGGGAAGCCATTTCTCTGGCCTAGAGAAGCTGGAACCTAAAAAAGCTGAGAAACTGTGCAGACAGCATCTTCCTCTCTTTTGCACCGCGAAGGACCAAAGATAGGTGTATGGCAATGTCACGTTGGCATGTTCTTGTGGAAACAGCTGGAGCTGGGAAATACAGAATCTAGTGGGGCTGGGACTTCGCACAATTTCTGGATTGTGTTTATGTGTCCTATAATTTTGCGATAGTGATATCTATTTTCTTTGTTGTTGCCTCTTTGTTCAGAGTAAATGTCTTAGAAAGTTTCACCTTTCTCCTAGTGTGTCAAAATAAATGAATCAGTAAAAGACAGCAAGCACAAGTGTTTATATCTGTGTTTATAGTTGTACCAGGGGCCTACCGAAGACAGTCAACCTCTGAGAGGCAGCACAATAATCAATTAAGTTAGTGATTCTGAGAAGATATAAAGGTCATGGAGAAGGAGATTCTCTTTCCAGAGGTAAAGGGTGGTATGTCTGAATTTCACTTAAGAGAAGGGGGCAGTGCTACCCCACCAGGGTACACACTGCTAACTTTTATTTTATTTTTTATTTCAGAGGAAAAGGAGAAGGAGGGAGAGAGGGAGGAAGAGACATCAATTTGTTATTCCACTTATTTATGTATTCATTGTTTGATTCATGTCCATGCCCTGATCTGGGATCAAACCCACAACCTTGCTGTATCGGGATAACGCTGAACAGAGATATCCAGCCAGGGCACAGCTAAGTCTTACTATCACCTAGTTGGTTATCCCAGGAAAACTTCTGTAAATAGTGTGAGTTACTGATCCACTGTTTTTTGCTTATTTTTGTTTTGTGTTGCTAGGCACTTACAAGCAATAAGAGAAAGTAATCTGCTTCTTCATTTTGTCACTATTTTTTAATATATTGATTTTTAGAGAAAGATTGATGTGCTGTTCCACTTACTTGTGTAGTCATTGTTTGCTTCTTCTATGTGCCCTGACCAGCGTTTGAACCCGAGACCTTGTTATCTCGGGATGACATTCCCACCAACTGACCTACCCAGCCAGGGCTGCTTCTTCATTTTAGTAAAGATAGCTAAGCTGTTACCTTCTGAGTTTTGTGCTGCTTTTTCCGTGACATTGCCCCTTCATTCATTTAATACACAGTCAATAAAACACTGAGCATCTATCAGGCACCGTAAGGGACTGGAAACACGGTGAGAAGTAGAAAGAAAAGGGTCACCTTCAGTGAGTTTACGGTGTAGGAGAGAAGGTTTAATCAGAGAAACAAAAACACATTTGAAATTTTGACTGGGATTAACTGCTGTGATGCTATAAGAGCCTGCATCAGGGACTGGCACAAAGGACCTCACTAAGTGGAGGTAGGGAGGCTAGGGTCACAAAAGGAGTTCTTGAGAAAGTGGCAATTGAACTGAGAATGGAAGGACAAGAAGAGTTATTATAGAGGGAATAGGAAAAAAACATTCCAGGAAAAGAGAATAGCTTTCGTTTTGGAAGGACAAGGACATCAAAACATTAAGCTGGACTCGCTTGCAAGATGGAAAGAATGGTGACTGATGTGTTAAGAGGTTGTAGCCTGGCACTTATGAGTAAGATTTAGCTCTTCAAGCCTGGAAGAAAGGAAGGGGCTGAAGGGTGGTATGGTGGGTATAACTGCGGTTGGTGGGCTCCTGGGCCCTGTTGGAATGCAGTGACACGGAGGTGGCCCAACTTGTGGGTGGTAACAGAAGGCTACATACTGGCCCTTTGGACCATGGAGGATTGCAGTGAGGGCACTGGGCCTCCCCCACTCCCTGCCCCCCAATATCTGAATGAAGGAAAGGATTAACACTTGATGGCTAATCCTTAATCATAAGGCACTGTTTCATCCTTAAACAAAAGGCACTGGAACAACAATACAGTACTTTAATGAGAGGTAGTAATGTGGTGGCCCGTCAGGTTCAAACCTCAGCTCTATATTCAACAGCTTTTTTGCCCGAGGCGGTTATTAGACATCCATAGGCCTGTTTCCCCAGCTGTAAAATACAGATAATAAAATCTGTTTTATCAAGTGGTGGGGAAAATTGAATTTGGTTAATACATGTGATGTTCCTAGAAGTGTCTGGCACAAAGTAAATAACACATACACTTCAGCGGGGGAAATGGCAGCCAGATGTGAAGTCCTCCTCCAATTTTCTTGGACTCCATAAGCTCCCGAGGGGCCAGTACAACCTACAAGGGCAAGAGGGGTTCCAAAGCGGGCTCAATCTTCACCCGAACTGTGGGAAGTGGTTGAAGTTCGACCGGGAAAACAAATGTTAATGTAACATTTTCTGCACCAACGGCATGCCCCTCAAACAATTTCATTCTAGGAAAAGTAGTGCTGGAGATAAGCCTGAATTAAAGAAAAAGAAAGATGCCTGCTTTTAGAGGAAATCAGATATGGGTCACCGAATCCTAGAGGCCCTGAAACCATTTCCCTCAGATACCTCAGCACCAGCACTCAGGTTTGGTGAAGTGGACTGGGAACCAAATTGACCGTCACTAACCGTCACTGGAAAAGTGGCATTTCAGGGAAAGCACCAACATATGAAATGTTCTGTCCTGATTTGTGTGCTCCGACTGCAGGCTAAGAGCAAGAGTAGGTGGTAATTCACCACCTACCTGAGACCAGCCAAAGGCCAACCCCTAACAACCCACCGTCTTCCAAAGACAGAAAAAAGCACAGAAACAAACGTTAGTGATGAACAAGACTAGGGAAAGGCCCCCTCCGGTCCGGAGCCCGGCCCTGTCTGGCCTCCGGCAGGGGCCGCTGCAGCCGGACCAGCTAAATCGCTCCGCCCTGCCCGGTTGCCCCCTCGACGGCCCCGTGCCTGGGGCGCTGCGGTCCCTGTCGCGGCTTCCAGCAGGTGCGTCTCCTCCTCTGCTGGGGTCTTGGCAGCTTTTCCCCAGCTCCCGCCCAGTAGGGATCCTGGACGATCCTTGCAGCCAGGTTGCGCACCGTCCCGGCTGCAGACCCACGGCGGGGACAGAGCGCGCATGCGCTGCCTAGTTCTTTTTGCACGGAGTTCCGGGCCTGCCCACGTTGGCAGGGGTTGGAGCAGGGATTTGGGGAGTTGGGGGGTTAGAGCGTTGGGGGGGGGTTAGGGAAGGGGCTGCCCTCTGCGGGAGGACCCTAGGGGCTCTGTCCGGCCCGGCATCCCCACATGCGGATACCCGAGGCCCGGAGTCCTCCGGCCCAGCACTGGGGCCGCTGCGGCCCAAGACGGGGGAGGGGCTAGGAAACAAGGTTGGAAAGTAACGCGGTGGGAGCAGGTGGGCCTGGTGGGCTGCTGTGAAGGGGAAGCCCCGAGCCCTTTGTGTAGAATCACGCTGGTCACTGCGGCGTCCCGGGTGGCAGATGATGGTGTCTTGGGGTTAGGGTGGTGGCTGTGGGCTTGGGAGGAGGGGTCGGATTCGGGACGTAGTTTAAAGTTGCAGCTGTGAGGTTTGTGACCAACCTGGAATTGTTGGATATAAGATGTGAGAGAAAGGAGAAGCCATGTCCCAGGAGCGTGATTCCCTAAGGCTTTGTGGGTTGAAGGTCTGGGGAAAGCTTCGGAGCTCAGGTTTGGCTGTGTGAGTGGGCCCGTCCTTTGGACAGTGGAGGGGGAAGGCTGTCTGGAGCCCTGGGAGGATGGGGCATCAGAGAACTAGGTGGAAAACAGGCGAGGGTGTCTTCTGAAAGTCAGGAGAAGCAGGAGTTTCCTTGCTTCTCCTAGAGAGGAGAGGTGATCAGGTGGGTAGGAGACTGGACATAATCAAGGTTTAGCAAGGTGGAGGCAGATGGTGACCTTGGACAAGAGCAGGTAGATGGTAAAGAAGAGAGGGGAATGAGTCTGCTGTCAGTGTTGGTAGCCGAGGACTGGTACATTGCATTGATTTAGCTTGTAGGTGTGCAAAAGTATTTATTGAATGCCTGTGTAAGGTTTTGGAGTTCCTTTGCGGTATACTTATCATGTACTTTAATTTTTTTTGTAAAATTTTTTTCTTGCATACCTGGTATAACCTTTCATTTATTATATTCATTTATTGTATTTTTCAGCATTAGTAGGTTGCTCCTTTTTTTCAGAGAGCATACATTTTTCTTTTTTTCTGATTCCTTAGGTGAGTTTCGGGTTTCAAAGAAAGACTGATTAAATAGGGGACTGCCATTCACCCAGAGTAATGTCGGTGTTTGGGAAACTCTTCTGCCCCCAAAGCTTCCAATGATTGGTTTGATGAATGAGTTGGTTTTCTCCCCTGGGGTTTATCTTTCCACCCTGAAGGAACAAACCAGGCAAAATAATTGGTGGTTTCACCCAGGGCAGTTTTCACCCCTGAGTTTTTCAGGACCAGACAGCCCGAGTTCCCATTGCCCTGCTGCCTTTCCCTTTTCTTCCCAAAACTTGCTTTTACGCTTGGACAGGGTTGTAAGCATGTAGAAGGTAGAACACTGCCCACTGGACTCCCGTAGGAAAGCAGATAGATGTTCGAATACAGGCAGCCCTTCCAATAAATACTTTGCCTGCATCTTTAAAATAGCCTTATGTTCTAAGTATTTCCGATCTTGGAAATAAGTTTTCGGTGTCGCCGACCAAAAACATTGTCAATATTTCGTTTTCATTCTTTGCTTTTGCTGAGCCACTTGCAGAACATCTTCTAAATTAATGGAAAATCTAGCAAAACAATTCCCACATTCATTTTTTAAGTGTAATGTTGACTAAAAAAACAGGCAGCAGAATAGATTTTTGTAATCCAGGAGACCCAAATTTTCTCACGGATTGATTCATTCATTACATCAGATAGACATAGAATACTTAGATTTCACTAATAATAAATTGGTGTGATTTGAAATTTTAAAAAGTACATGTTTAGAAAGTATTTTAAAGTTATACAATCCATGAGTGTGTGTATGCATTCACATGTTATATGTAAAATATATGTGTCATTAGACATTATAATTCACGTAAGTACTAAAGCTCTCTTTCTACAATACTTGTTGATTGCATTCCCTAGGCAAAACATCTAGAAACTAATGATTTTGGAAATGTTGAAACATTACTTAAGAATAAAAACAGTTGAGTAGAAAAACTTAGATGAAAAATTAGTAACATTTTACCCAGAAAATACAAGTTCTAATCTTGTCAATTCTACAATTAAAAATTCCTTAATATTCTCAAATATTTGACAACTCTTTATAATTGGCAACAAATTCAACACACGTTCAGAATAGAATGAAGTTTTGCCTTCATTTCACAGCTGTGGAGCAGAAGACCAGTCTTTTAGATCCTCAGGTAGAAGAGCTGTATGTAGAGAAGCACAGTCAACTGCTTTATTATATTGCTTCCTCTGTCGACATAAGAGCATCCAAACCTATAGTGAATTTTTATTAGAATTTATTTGAGCCCAAACTGATGACATTGCCAGAAAGCAAGCTCTCCTGCTCTGGAGAACGAGTTTTGCAGTTTCTTTTATACATTGGAAATTAAGGAGGGAGCTAAAGGAAAATTACATGAACAAGATTTTGTGATGCCTAGAGGGTGATTATGTGCTTTCTTCAGAGGTGTGTTAGCCTAGATGCACAGAAACAGTGAGCAGGGCTTGCTTAAGGCAGAGATAAACGTTGTACAAAACAGTTCAAGCTTGCAGTGTGACTGTCCACCGTGACCTGTCCCAGTAGGAGTTTATGGTCAGCTTGCCCTGTGAGGTTATTTTCCTAGATTCCCTTTTTTCATCCACACCTCTGCTGACTGGACTTTAAACCTTTAAGTTGTTTCAAATTCTTTTTTTCACATTTTAAAATAAAATTTATTAATTTATTACAGTTGTCCCATTTCACCCCCTTCATTCCCCTCTATCCTGCACACCCCCTCCCACTCACATTCCTCCCCTTTAGTTCATGTCTATGTGTCATAAATTCTTTAGCTTCTACATTTCCCACATTATTCTTGCCCTCCCCCTATTTTCTATCTACCATCTATGCTACTTATTTTCTGTACCTTCTCCCCCCTTCTCCTCCTCCCACTCCCCTGTTGCTAACCCTCCATGGGATCTCCATTTCTATGGTTTGGTCCTGATCCAGCTGTCCTCTTAGTTTGCTTTTGTTTTAGGTGTGGTTGTTAATAACTGTGAGTTTGCTGTCCTTTCACTGTTCATATTTTTATCTTCTTTTTCTTAGATAAGTCCCTTTAATATTTCATATAATAAGGGCTTGGTGATGATGAACTCCTTCAATTTGACCTTATCTGAGAAGCATTTTAACTGACCTTCCATTCTAAATGAAAAGCTTTGCTGGATAGAGCAATCTTGGATGTAGGTCCTTGCCTTTCATGACTTGGAATACTTCTTTCCAGCCCCTTCTTGCCTGTAAGGTAAGAAATCCGCTGACAGTCTGATGGGAACTCCTTTGTAGGTGACTGTCCCCTTATATCTTGCTGCTTCTAGGATTCTCTCCTTCATTTTAATCTTGGCTAATGTAATGATGATGTGCCTTGGTGTGTTCCTTCTTGGGTCCAACTTCTTTGGGACTCTCTGAGCTTCCTGGATTTCCTGGAAGTCTATTTCCTTTGCCAAATTGGGGAAGTTCTCTTTTATTATTTGTTCAAATAAGTTTTCCACTTGTTGATGTTCCTCTTCCCCTTCTGGTACATCCGATAATTCTGATGTTGGAACATTTAAAGATGTCCTGGAGGTTCCTAAGCCTCTCCTAATTTTTTTGAGTTCTTGTTTCTTCATTCTTTTTTGTTTGGTTGTTTCTTGCTTCTGGTCCACTCCATTGATTTGAGTCCCAGTTTCCTTTCCATCACTATTGGTTCCCTGTGCATTTTGCTTCATTTCACTTAGTGTAGCCTTCATTTTTTCATCTAATTTACAACTAAAATCACCCAGTTCTGCGAGCATCCTGATCACCAGTGTTTTGAACTGTGCATCTGATAGGTTGGCTATTTCTTTGTTGCTTAGAAGTATTGGCTCTGGGGCTTTGAGTTGTGATTCTGCTTGAGCCATAATGTTTTGGTCTGTTTGTGCCTGTTACGTATGAGGAGCAGAGCCTTAGATGTTCACCAGGACGGGTCATTCCAGTCGCTGGGTTGTGACTGGGTGCAGGGTCATAGAAGGAGAAATGGCGTTCGTTCCACTCTCTCTTAGATTTTGGTCTTCTCTGCTGCTTCCCACAAGCAAATTGGGTCCTTCTGGTGCTGGTTCCTGGGTAGATGGGCTTGTGTGCATTCTAGGACCCTGTGGGTCTCTCTAAGAAACTCTCCTGTGAGGCTGGGAGTCTCTCCCTGTGCCTTAACCCTCACAGGTGTTGTCATTCGATGTTTTGAGGCTTTCCAAGCGCTGGGACCCTGGGTTGCGGAGTCTGTCTCGCTCGTCAATTTCGCCTGGCTTATCTGTGTGCGAATGTGGGACTGCCTGGTTAGCTGCCTTGTGCACAGTGCCCGGCTTCACCTTTGCCACCTGGCTGCGTCTGCCCATTGCCACCCTGTGCCCACGGTCTGCCAGCTGCTGCCTGCGTGCCGAGGGTCCGCCTGCTGCTGTCTTGTGAGCCTGAGGTGCCTTTTGCGCCTGGTGCCACTGCTTTTTGTGCCCTGACCCCTCTCTGTCCGGCTGCCCCACTCCACCCGGCGTAACGGTCTGGATAAATGTGTCTATTTTATCTCCTTGGCTGTCCGACCATACGGTTCAATTTTCTGTCAGTTTTGGTTGTTATTTTATTTCTAAATTGTTGTTGTCCTTATTTTGGTTGTGTGAGGAGGCACAGTGTGTCTACCTATGCCTCCATCTTGGCTGGAAGTCCCAGTTATTTCAAATTCTTAATGACTTTAAAAATCCTACCTTCATGTCTGGGAAAAAATATGACAGATTATTCAGAAGTTGTCCAGAATTCTTTAAAAATAAATGTGCATGTTTGCTAACATTTAGAATTAACAGAAGCCCTGGCTGGTATGGCTCAGTTTGTTGGAGTGTTATTCCATACACCAGAAGGTTGGGGGTTCAATTCTTGGTCAGGGTGAATATGTAAGGCAGCTGATCAGTGTTTCTCTTTCACAATGATATTTTTTCTCTCTCCCTTCTCCAACATCAGTCAACATTCAAAAATTTTTTTAAATCAACAGAAGAACAAAAGAATTTTCTGGATCAAACTGATGTCTCCAAATTAAAATATTAGAGAGCAGCAGTGGACCCACAGTTGAGAGAAATAAGTAAAGGTAATATAGGAAGCTCAAAATGATAGCACAAGTAACTTTACGTAACATGTAAGGAAGTTTTAGTAAAGGTTGACGGTATTGGGTACTTTAATCTTCATAGTTCTCAGATGTGCAGGTTTAACAACACTATCTATGACAATATCTTAAAGCCTTAAATGGATCTAAGAAAAACCCATTTCTTGATAACTATTGAAGCTAGGTGATGGGAAAATAACTTCTCTTTTCACACGTTTAAATTTTTACATAATTAAAAAAACACAGAACTGTAGTAACACCTCGCTTGTCCATTATTGAGGTATTCCATAATTAGTTTTTCCAAACAAATTAAAATCTGTCAAAAGCTTATCATGCCCGCACTGGTTGAACACCATGCCAAGCTATTATCTCCGACGCTTCCTTTAAATAGAGCACCAGGGTGATTTTCACCATGGCCAATGCCGGCATCCCCAGTGTTGCAGCCCTACAAGCTGCTCCCCAGAGTGGCTCTTCTCCCGCTGCCACCCTGTCAGCCAAGGGCCTTTTCTGGCACTGCCTTTGGCTCTGACCTGCATTCTCTGAGGACGTGACTCCCGGCAGCCAGAGGGGCTCGTCCTCTGATGTGTTCTGGAAACCAACACTACACCATTTTTCTCTTTTGCAGTGTGGCTAGCTTCTTGTCCAGTTGTTTTGGTTACAGCAGAGACAGATTACAATGAAAATGTGTCGACATGCTTGCTGCTTATGTTTAAGTGAGGCTTATTGAAGTACAATTTATATGTGTAAAATTCACCCTTTTTATTGTAAAGTTCTATGAATTTTGAAAAATGACCACAAAATAAAGACAGAATTTTTCCATTGCTTCAAAGTTCCCTGGCCCTCCCTGCCTCCTCCCCGCCCCCCCCCCCCCCCCCCAGACCCTGGAAACCACAGCTGTGATCTCTGTACCTACAGTGTTGCCCTTTCATAATGTCATGTCAGTGGTCTCAAACAGTGTGTAGCCTTTTTGGGTCTGGCTTCTTTCACTTACCGTAATGCTTTTCTGGTTTCCTTTTTCTAAAGAAAACTTTATCTTGACATATTTTTAGGTTTACAGAAATGTTACTTGTACTATTTGCCCAATTTCCTCTAAAGTTAACAGCTGATGTAATTCGAGTACAGTGATCTGATCCAGAACAGTTACAGTTGTATAGTACTATCAGCTAATGTGCAGACTTCAGATTTTGCCAGTTCTCCCTGTAAAGATCCTTTTCCTGCCTTGAATCCAGTCTGGGATTTCCCATGGCATTTGGTTGTCCCTTCTGTTTAGTCTCCAACCTGGGGCAAGTCCCCAGTCTTCCTCTTTCGTAACCTGGATCACTTCTTTGAAGAGCCAGTTTTGCTGTAGAATGCCCCCTTGATTGGGGTTTGTCTGATGTTTTCTTATAATTAAATCAAGCTAATGCATTTTGGGGGAAAGAAACGCAAGCGATATTTTGCTCTTAACTGCATCGTATCAGGAGTGCCATGAAGTTAGTATGCTTATTATTGGGGATTAACTTTGACTATTTGGTTAAGGTAGTCTGCCAGATTTTTCCACTGCAGGTTGCATAATATATTTATTTATTTGATTTTGCATAATACTTTAAAAATTCATCCACGTTGTTTTACATATTAGCAGTTTGTTCTTTTTATTGCTGAACAGTATTTCATTGTATTGATCAACCACACAATTTGTTCACCCATTTATAAATTGATGGGCATTTGATTTGCTTCCAGTTTTTGGCTTGGTGCTGTCTGATAGGCCTTGGTGTTCTCCTGTTAAGCATAAGTAATTTCACAAAACACCAACATCAGGCAAGGCTAGCCTGTGACCATGGTGAACTGGGACAAAAATAAGACAACTGCACAATAGGTCTAACCCTAGATAAAAACAAGAACATGTCTTAACCACAAAAATGACAAAACATCCTCTGATCCTGGCTGATACCAGGACCTGCTGTTTATGGACTAATCACAGCTCTAGCCTCACTTCACCCCTTTGAACTTTTAGATCAGATTCACTAAAATACTCGGTCAAGGTATCCTGTTTCCTGACAGCCTCTAATCCAGAATAAAGCCTCACTTCCTCCAACCCACGCCAACTTCAAGTAACACAAGCCCCACCCCTATTTCTAACGCGGTTGCTGGGATGCCCTGCAGTCCTGAGTCTGCTGTTCTGGCAGCTGCTGAAGACAAGCGTGTTCCCGGCCTGCACTGCAGAGCCTTGACCGTGCAGACGGCCTGTGCGCGCACACGCTGAACGTCCTCCTTACACTCATGTCCACATCCCATCCTGGCCCCAGTGCTTTTTTTTTTACTAATTTCTTGGGAATACTTCCATTTTAAAAAAAAACTAAAGAAATGAGTACTATGGTATATACTCATATCTCCTCTCTCACACAACACCATTTGCACTGACTCTTCCCCCAAGACGTTAAATTTTGGAAATCTCTATCAGATTAGAGAGAATATCTTTATTGTTTTGTTTTTTAATGTTCGAAATCTGAACGTTGGAATGACTACAGCATTAAATAATCTGATTTGGCACTAACATGTTTTGAGCTTCATCTTCCATGTATTTATTTTTAACCTGTGACTATCTTCTGCTCTGCTGATACCAACACTCCAGTATTCATGAAGCCAGCATGCTGTCTGCTTATAAATACTGAATCTACCATCAAATGACATTGAATTAGACTTGTTCATTTGGGTTATTTTCTTTTTTAAGTACATTTTTTGAAAGATTTTATTTATTTATTTCTAGACAGAAGGGAAGAGAAAGAGGGAGAGAAACATCAGTGTGTGGTTACCTCTCGCACGCCTCGTACGCCAGGGACCTGGCCGGCAACCCAGGCATGTGCCCTGACTGGGAATCAACCCGGTGACCCTTTTGTTCAGAGGCTGGCACTCAATCTACTGAGCCACACCAGTCAAGGTTTTTTGGGTTATTTTAAATACTCATAAAATTTACCACCTTACCATTTTTAAGGTTACAGTTCAATATTGTTAAGTCCATTCATGTTGAGCAGCCTGTCTCCAGAACTCTTTATCTTGAAAACTGAAATCCTATATGTATTTTTTTTATTTTAAAACTATTGTATAGTTTACATACAGTAAAATTAACCCTTTTTTAGTGTTGAGTTCCATGGGTTTTGACAATCATGTAACTATCACACTACTCAAGACACAGCAATTCCATTACCTCGAAAGCCCCTCCTGGGCCCTTTGTGCGTTCACTCTTCCCTGTCGGGCAACCACTGGTAGGTGCTCTGTGCCCAGTTTTGCCTGTTGGAGAATGTCCTGCTAGTAGAATCCTACGCACACTCTTTTCCACAGCAGCCATGTCGCACGTTACGAGGGTGCCCTTGTTTGTTGAACTCGTCCCCTGCAGATGGTCAGTTGGGTCGTTTCTAGTCTCCTGCCGTTCATCGTAGTGGTCTGAAGAACAACCCTGTGGGTGTGTCATTTTGGATGTGGAAGTCTGACTGTTGTAAAACGTCCAGGAATGGCCAGGTCAAAGGGAACATGCATGTGTAATTTTGATAGGTTGTTCTCCAACGGAATTGTAAAGTTTTAGGAAATACATTATTTTTCTATTTTTCCTATATCCACGAACTTTTAATCCTGGGTTTTTCTAATCATTTGACCCGCTAGATAGAAGTCAGCTCTGCCAATTACCAAGTGGATGTCATTGATCCAAATAGTGTGTTTTTCTGTGTCTCCTTTTCTGTTATAAATTCCTTAGGAATAAAGATTTACTAAATGTGCTTTAAGACACAAGTTTTTTCCCTGGCCAGTGTTGGTTTGAACATCGTCCCCTAAACCAAAGGGCTGCAGGTTCGGTTCCCAGTCAGAGCACATACCTAGGCTGTGGGCTCTGTCTCCCATCAGGGTGCATACGAAAGGCAATTGACGATTTGCTCTCACATTGCTGCTTCTCTCCTTACCTTCCCCTCCCTAAAATCAGTAAGCGTATCCTTGGGTGAGGATTAAAAAAAAAAAAAAGGCAAATTTCATTAGCTCCATTGTCACCTTTGTCCTATTTGTTGTCATGATAAAGTATATTTCCTGCTTAATTCAGATCTCAGAATTTACTCTCTCAGAGAGAGGCCTGTGGTTTTCACACCTTTTTAAAAGCAGGGGAACCTGTTTTTCAAATGAATTCTCATATCTAACCCCATCAAGCCTCCGAGGCAGTCATTTTCCATCGTCAGCATTCATCAGAGTCCCCTGGCCCAGATGCGGGCCCCACCCCGAAGTGTCTGATTCATGGGCGGGGGTGGGGGCGGGGGACCTTGACCGCGTTTGCAACAGGATCTCAGGTGACGCCTTTGCTGCTGGTCTGCGGACAACACGTGGGAGCCAACACGCAGGCACCTAAGGGCTCTTGAGAACAAATTGAAAACAACTGGTTTAGAGGCCGAACACCATGAAGATCTGACACTAAAGATTTTTAAGGGCATTCTTACTTTTATTGACATATATGTATATGTATTTGTGAAATACAAGTATTTTCTGATTTTTTGTTTGTTTTTGTGATTTTTCTAAAGCCCATCTTGAGAATTAATGCTGTAAAGAAACCCGATGGGACCTCTCCAAACTGTCCCTAGCAGATTCTTCTCCCAACTGCATTGTGGGTTGAGATCTCCAGCTGCCTTGGGAACCAAGATTTGCCTAACGATGGCTCGTCCAAGTTCAGGTAGGTCTTTCTTAGCCTGCCTCATCATCTCCCGTGGAACCTGAAAGACCTAAAAATTCATACACTTTGAGGGGAATGTTTATATTGAAGTGGGTGCTGGGCCAGAATTTGGAGAAGGCCACTCTGTCCTTTTCTCCTTAGGCAAGTCTTCCTTCCAGGACAGGTCAGAGATGATCTCTTAATAGTCAGGGTAAGTCCATTTAAGGCATTTTTTTGCTTCTCCCAGAATATTTGCATTTAAGCCTTTCACACATGATTTGTGTTCTAAACCCCTCCCTGCAGGGGACACAAGCTGGTGGTTGTCCTCCAGGGTCACATGGGGTTAAACTTTTTCCTGGGCAGAAATGATTTGTATCTCTATTGGACAAAAACCGACAAGGTAACATGTACCCTTACTGTATAGTGGGTATAGAGTGTAACAGATTTATGTAATAAATGATCCTTAGGTGGGCCTGTTAAACTTCAACGTGGCATTGAAAGGCCATGCTGAACTCCTCTTGCCTCATTTCTAACTTTTGGGTAACTTCCTAATACTGTGAGTACGCTGAATTACAGTAGCACTGCCTTCCATTTGCCCAATCTCAGCAACGATAAAGAACCCGAAGAACCCAGTCCGCTGAGCCGCCCAGCCCCCGGACGTGCACAGCTGTGCAGGCCAGGGTCTCGGGCAGCTGTGGGGCTCCCAGGAGCATGTGCTTGACCAAAAGTGGGCCACCTGGGTCTGAAAATGCAAAACATGCTGGTGTGTTTTTCTTTAGCAGTTAGGAAATATCTTTTTAAAATAAGATTTCACACTGCTTTAACACTGTTATATCCTAAATCCTGTTTTCCAAGAATGAAACCCGAGCTGACTTCCTTGTTTCTAGAAGTTGCTTAAAATGGTACTTTAATAGAAGTCACTCTGATCTAGGAATCTATTCATCAGACTTTCCATTTGGGGTGGAAAACACCAGGGGAAAGTTTTGTGGGTGAACTCAGAGGTCCTTAAGGATATCTGTAGGGTTTCGATCCAGGAGTCATATCACTAGTTCCTAGAAAAATATTTGTATATTTTCTTATTTAGCACCTTGTTCTTCCAGGGATCAGACTGGGTTTCTTTTTCGGAAATCTTCCGGGTTAGACAGCATAAGTGGGCCTTATTTTCCGCGCCAGTCTATTTCTGACAGGGGCATGAGCGTAGGCAGGGTTAGAACGTCTGGCCGGTGGGGAGTTGGGCTGGTTATACCGAAAGGCAGCAGTGTGCCTGAAGCGCCTTCATTGTTTGAGCCTGTTGCGGAAAAGCGATCCCAGAGAGCTCCAGGAATGTGGAGCTGGTGCCTCTGCTTCCTTGTTTCTGAGAGTCTGCTTTGACTCTGTTCACCCTTCCTGGTAGTCAGAAAGGAAGGGAAAGGGAGGGGAGATAGAGTCTTTTTCTGAAATTCCCTGTCCTGCATGGGCCGTACAGGTGGTTCTGGGCTTGGGCAGGTGAGGAAGTGCTACCCATGCTTAGATGGAGCCAACAGGTGTGAGAAACCACTGGGATCCTTTTTACCAGCTTAGGGGACAAAATGAAGTCACATTCCCTTTAACACTCAACCCTGAGCCCCCACCGCACTATCTTTCTTCCTTTCCTTGATCCTGCCTGTCACTGGTTCCATCTCTTAGGATGTGCTCATTCAGTCCAAGGGTTAACCTTGGTTGCCGTTGCCTCCAGGGTGGAAGACCAGCAAGCCTGCTCCATCAGCTGTGGAACTCAAGGTCCACTTTTGCTAAACTTTCCAGTGCTTTAGCACAGGCTGGCCTCCCAAAAGATGTGTGCTCCGGTGGCCCAGGCCAGCTGAGGGGGGCTGAGGAGGGTCTCTCTTCTCCCTGAAGTTTATGGTCATCTCTGTACAGCTTACAGCTGGCCTGCTGGGGCTACAGCGCACACTTACCTCTCACATGGGGCTGTAGAGCCACAGCGTCTGAGACAGTGGTGCTCTCAGCCACAGGCTGGGCTCTGACCTAGTCTCTGCCACCCAGGAGGAACAGTGGCACTTCCAAGTCTGGGATGGGACATTTGCTTCAGAAGTAAACTTCACCTTGGGGTCCAGTGGGCCTGAGGATGGTCCACACACACTCATAACACACAAAAACTTCTGTTTACTTTCATGAAGGAAGATGCATTGTCATCCATTAGCTTCTTTTCATCTTCATACCAGCCCTGCTCTAGGGAGGGCACTAGCGTGCATGTCAGATCGCCCAGGGAGCCCAGGGAGCAGCGGGCACGTGGACGGAGGCAGAGCTGAGATTCTGGCCGGTGCTGTGTGCCTGAGGCCCTGCGTCGTCTTAAGATGTTGCACATTCACACAGCAAGGGCATGGTGGCATCTTCACGGTACATGAGTGATTTTATTTGGGTATCTTAAAGTCCAGTTTCATGTAAGGTCAAGTTTCAAAATGCAGGTATTGTCTGCTTTTAAAAAGTTTGCTCCATACCAATTTGCTATTACAAAAAGCCTACATCAGTATCTGTTTTTGCTAACCAAAGGAAATCTGGAAGATTTTTACATTTATGCAAAAAGGTGAAAAACAAAAGTGTTCAGCATTTATTTTGCAGCGAGTTATGGAGACAGCACACCCCCCAAGCAGCAGCGAGAGGGGCCCTGCCAAGCTCCTTGTCTGGAACTACATTTGGCGCCAGAGCTTTGAACTGTGTCTGTGAGCGTCTGTTAGCAGAATGTGTCCTGAGGTAGCTGCTTCTTCACTTTATGCAAGGTTTCATGGGAACACTCTGCCGGCGGACAGCAAGGGAAACCCAGGCAGGCGATTGATGCAGATGTAAATGTCTGGATATGCTGCACTGGGTTGATCACATTTTATTCTCTCTTTAGATATGGCCGACTTTCGGAAGTTTTTTGCTAAAGCAAAGCACATAGTCGTCATTTCAGGGGCTGGCATTAGTGCCGAAAGTGGGATCCCGACTTTCAGAGGAGCCGGAGGTTATTGGAGAAGGTGGCAATCTCAGGTTAGTAGAGTTTCCAGAATATTAAGAGCTCTTCTGAGTGAAATCATAACAGAGTTTGACTTAGAACATATACTGATGCCTGAAACCCAGAGAGCAAATTCTGAAATTAACTGATGACCCTTGACCTGTTCATTTTGGCATCAACACAAAGGCCATGTGATTAAGATCTGACATTTAAGCAAAGCAGCTACGTCCCTTACTTTCTAGGTATGTGTAGATTGCATTTATTCAGATAACAGTTAGATTTCTTCTAGTAATTGAAGTGGAATCAGAAAACCTTGGTTAGCACAAGTCATTGCTATAGATATTGAAATCAAGTATTACACATTTTTTAAGTTTCTGTGAATGTTTCACATTAAAACTGAAGTTGAATTATTAAAAGCCTAGATCTTGATATTCAAAACTTTATATGAAGGCCCTTAGAATGTAAGTTTAAAGAAATAGAATTTTTATTGAGCTGTATTATTCATGCAATAAAACACACCAATTTTAAGTGGACAGTTCAATGACTTGTTATGAATGTACACAGAGCGCGGCCACCACCTGGTCCAGGGTGGAGGGGTCCTGGCCCCAGATTATTCCCTCCGCAGTCAGTCTCTCCCTTCCCCAGGAAATCCGCAGTTTGGAGGGTGGAAGATTTTGTTGATTTATTCATCATCCCACCCCCAGCTTCCAGAACTCTGGAACAGTGTAGGTGCTTAACAGGTTTTTGTTGGTTGAATGAAGACAAACATAAATAATTACTTCAATACTTGACTTCCACATTCAGTCGGTAATTTCTCATTGCGTGAAGGATTAATGAACCTGCCCTGTTTTCCTATATTAAAAGTCTCAGGATGGCAAATATTTAGGATGTATTGTCACTTCTCCAGCGCCCTCCAGGCGAGGCCTGGGGATGTGGACACGGGGATCATCACCTTAGAGATGAAGGAGGGGAGAAGGAAGAGCGGAGGGCCCTCAGGGTCCCACAAGGAAGAGGAGCCGCAGAGAGCAGTCCCCGGCTTAGAGAAGCGCAGGGGAGTGCAGCAGGCGGGAGGAGGAACTCAGGGAGGGGTGGGCCGGCCTGTGAGAGCGGCTCAGCGTGTGGGGCAGCAAGGGCACCTGGCACAGCATGTTTGGCACCCTCTGTGTTCACAGCACACACAGGGTGGGCAAAAGTAGGTTTACAGTTCTGAGTATGCAAAACACAGAGGTGGTTCTAGTATTACTATTTATTTATTCATGATTGTAGACCTGTGTTTGCCCACCCCTGTGTATCCAGGGTCCCGTGCTACCTCTGACCCGCTCAGGCCACTTGGGCTGTGGATGGAGGGCAGGAAGCACAGGAGTACAGGGTTGACACGAACAATCCACAGCATAGACAGTCCACTCACGTGACTGCCGGGCAGATGGGGACCTTACGGTAAGATCAAACGTGTAATTCCGCCACCGCCACAGTCAGGATACTGAACACTTCGGTCGTGCCGAGGTTCCCTTGTGCCCTTTCCTGTCAGCTGTCCGCCCCAGACGGCTACCGCTCTGTTCGCAAAAATGAGATCCGTCTGTCCTAGAAGACGAGTCGCACTATAAAACACATTTTTATATATTTTGTTAATATAATACCTTTGGTGAGTGTGTAGCTGTAATTACAGTTATAAAAACTGAGTTTCTCAACTGTGCTCATTATACCTCATTTGGGAATTGCATATTCCACTTTTTTTCCTGGAAAAATGATACTGACTTCACATATTTTCCAACCTAGATTACCTTCCTGCTTGACTTCATGTTCATAACCTACTTGAGCGGTAAATGGGACAGGTTGCATTTCCCTGAGTTATAATTGGGGAACTTAAAACTGATTTCTCAGGTCTCTCGTTGTCCAGGACTGGGACACAGGCTACGCACAGCCCCAGGCCCTGCCCGTGTCTGCCAGGCTGCGTGCACCTGCAGCAGAGGGCCCGCCTGCGCCCTCCCAAAGCTGTCTGCCTCCGACGGAGAGAAAAAGGGGCCTGCGAGTGTTTTTCGCGACTGCCTGTCGCTGCAGGAGCCGCGCCCTGCTGCCCGTGTCATGGAACTTTGGTTCCTCTTTCCCTCCCTGACTCCTTTCTTCTCTCTCATCCCCAGGCCCTGGCCACTCCTGAGGCCTTTGCCCAAAACCCGTCCCTAGTGTGGGAGTTCTACCACTACCGGCGGGAAGTCATACAGCGCGTGGAGCCGAACCCCGGGCACTTCGCCATCGCCAAGTGTGAGGGCCGGCTGCGTGAGCAGGGCCGCCGCCTCACGGTCATCACCCAAAACATCGATGAGCTGCACCGCAAGGCTGGCACCAAGAACCTTCTGGAAATTCATGGTGAGGACCCTCAGCCTCACATGTGAAGGGAACCAGACTTTAAAGCACACGTCCTGCCTTGGCTGGGTAGTTCAGTTGGTTGGAGCATTGTCCTCATATGTCAAGGTGGCAAGTTTGATCCTCTGTCAGGGCCTTGTTCCAGAAACAACCAAGGAATGGACAGATGAGTGGAACAACAAATCAATGTCTCTCTCTCTTTCTCTCTCTCTCTCACACACACATGCACACAAATCAATTTAAAAAAACTAAAACAAAACACGTCCTGCCATGTTCCACCTGGACTCACTAAAACAGAATCTGCATTTTAACAGAATGAGCAGGTGTCTGGTACGTACAGGTGATCCTGGAGCAGCGCCGGTCTGCACAGCTGCACGCACCCTCCTCCCTTGTGCTCGGAGACAACTACCCAGCTGGGCTGAAGGGTCCAGGAGGTGTGGGCCATTGAACAGCCGTGCCTTTAATAGGATGTGGCAAAGGAGGACCTTGGCATTCCGGGGATATGTTTCCTTTCCCTTTGTCCCTCAGTGGGCAGTGCCCACTGAGGCCGCACTTCTGCTGAGCACTCCACCCTTTAAGGAGCTGCCAGCTCAGTCACCTTCTCTACGAAGCCCACCACATTTGTGACCCACAGGGGTTTTGTCCTAGGTCCCTCTGCCCTAATGACAACCTCCTTCTCCCTCTTGTCTTCTTAATTCTTTCCCCTCTTTGCTTTCACCAGAAATCTAATAAATCCATCTTGACGGATCCATCAAAAATCCATCAAGAGCCTAAATGGGCATGCAAGGATTTTTTCTCCAAGGACATTTGCATTTAAGAGTCTATAAAACGTCAATCCCAAGGAAGGCATTTCTAATTGTGGAATTCCCAGAAACAGTGGCCCAGTTGGGGACGTTGCTTGTGTGTGTGTGCCGTGAAGCGGCCCTGGGCTGTGGTCACCCTGATGGTGAAGCTGAGCACTGCTCGCTGGGATCCCATCTCTCTCTTGTATCCCAGAAGTGTTAGCCACCTACTAACCACGTGTCTTTTAGGCACCTTTTCCTGCTGGATCTGGGATGGTGTTTCCACATGGCCTCTCCTTTATCTGCAGTGTCAGAGTGTAGGCTGTGTCACTTGCCGTGTAGAGTGTATCAAATGGGGACAGAACCTCTTTTATCCAGTTACTTTAAGGATTAAATAAGATCATATGTGTATATGCTTAGTTGGGACTTTTTTGGTTTCACATGATGAGAACTCTCTTCTAATTTAGGTAAAAATAAAAGGGAGCCCTTCCTTTCATCGGATTAAAGATGCCATCATTTTTAAGAAGTATCATGTTTTTAATGTGATACTTAGAAAGAAAATAATCTGCCCAAACCATGTTATCTTATTCTATTATCCCTTACAATTGCTATTTTATACTTATAGAAAGGGCTTGTTAAAACTTCCTTAGATACACATTTTTAGAAACTATCACTCTCACACATAAAAAACAACATACGGGTGAAATAAAGTGGTTAAGATATTTCTTCTGAATTTCTTGTGAATGAGTCCGAGGCGCCCGTGACTGTGCTTATCGTACAGTGCTGTGCTCTGTGCACCAAGGGGATGGACGGTGCAGCACTTCCTAAGAGGGTGCCCCCTCACCCCTGGGCTTCTGTCCCAAGCTGCCAACCCACGTCCAGCAAGTTTGGTATCGGGCATTTCTCAGCCTTACCAGCAGGTGGTGGTAGACGGGTTCTAGACAACAAAGAGGACTCCGTCTCTTCCCCCAGCGGCCCTCACACGGTTTGTTGGCTGAAACATGCAGGGGCAGCCTTTGTACAATCAGGACACCGAGGTTAACAAGTCACCTCATGTATCCATCATTGGTATTATCCTTCCACGAGGCTGTGCAAGTGCTGGCAGTGGGAGCCACATCACACCTGTCCTGTGGCTGGTGGCAGTTACAGAACACATCTGAATTTCAGAGATGTTAACATGAGGAAAAGTGATCGTGCTAACACTGACACAGTAGGTGTGTTGGCTCACCAGACTGAGGAGCCTGGAGTGGAGCCGATGTCAGTAGCAGGCTCCCTGTCTTTCTCTCCCCGCCTCTCTGCCTCTCCTCCCCTGGCTTTGTAGACTCTGAGTTAGCTCACGTCTCCTCCTGCAGCTGATCGTCTCCATGGTCCAGCAAAGGTAGTGTCCAGCAACTGCAGGCTCACTTTCTCCTCAGAAGATAAACCTCTGCATGCCCTAGCCTGGTCACTGATCTCCTTTTTGACCAAACGCTGCCACTAGAGGGTTAGGCTGCTCTGATCGGGCCAGTCTGGAACGTGTGCGCAAACTTGTGTTTCAGGCTGTACCTGACAGCTATATCAGCTCAGCACGGGGTAGAGGAGAGGTGGTTCCTCAGCTAAGTGACGCTCGACAGAATGGATCAGTATGCGTCCACCACAGCGTGTGATGTTGCGCAGCATGACACAGGCACATGGCAAATGTGCAGGGAACTGTAGTCACCATTATTGGGCTAGCTCAGTCGTCACTCATTTTAAGTTTCCTTCATTTATCAGTTGATTATTGATTGATTGATTGATCTGGTTTTGGATAAAAGATTTAATTTTATTAAGTTGAAATTCAGATTTGTAAACACATCTCAAGCTACTGAACCTGACAATCATGTACTTAGTAAATCATGCCCTTAGGTCTGGTTGGCCTCATCTACCCTGTAGACCAACCAGCTCATTTCCACCTGAGCATCACTCCAACTAATCTGAGAGCTCCTTCGTCGTGGAGGACATGATTCCATCTGCCTCTCTTCCCTCCAGATCACAAAGCCCTGGAGGGCAGATGCCCTTGGCTTGTTCAGTAGTACTGCATGCCTTCACGTTTCCTGTGATAACTGGGGGAGGCCCACTTGCTAAGTTGAATATATCAAAACTAAATGATTTCGTACCTTTTGGACATGGAGACAATTGCTCTTGATGATGTGATTTCTGGTTCTGCTAACTTGTGTTTTTCAGGTAGCATATTTAAAACTCGATGTACCTCTTGCGGAGTTGTGGCTGAGAATTACAAGAGTCCAATTTGTGCAGCTTTATCAGGAAAAGGGTAATTATGCTGCACTATAGAATAATTGTACATTGTTTTCTCTTCTAAACTGAACATCAGTGCGAGGAAATTATACATTATTCTAAGATCTGCATGGATATTTATGAAATATTGGACCAAATATATTATAGCATATTATAAAAGAAATATTTGGCTCACGATTTACAATGGTAAGTGAAAACCACAGGATCTAACTATACACTATGATTCCAACTTTGTATTTAAACACACACACACACACACACACACACACACTCCCCATGTTGATGTTCTGTGTATAGGTAATAGACCTGAAGAAAATTCAGTGGTTTTCAGGACTGGTGGGATAATAGATAATTCTGATTTCTTTTACATATATTTTTGAATTTTCCAACATTTTTCTGGTGACAATGTACTATTATTGTAAATAAGGAAATAAATTAAAAGTAGATTCAGAATATTTGAAAAATTTTACCAGACCATTTTAAATCACTATAAATCATACAATAAATATATTAATATAATGTCACTGAAGAAGATTCAAATTATAACACATACAGTGCAAATCATGAAACCCCGCCCCTCAGCACATCTGGCTCTCCACATACAAATTCCCTCTGATGTAAAACCACTGGTAATTATTTGATGTCTTGTCTTTGAGTACTGTATGTATTAATCTGGATTTTTGCACCATATCCTAACAGGCAAATATATACACTCATTGGGTTATGTTATTTCTTTGTTCCTTGATTATACCAATGACATTTCTCTTTCCTAATACTGTTTACTTCAGTGCTCCAGAACCTGAAGCACAAGATGCCAGAATCCCAGTTGAGAAACTTCCCCGGTGGGTAAAAACCTTTCATCTGTATTTGGTGTTCCAGGTTGCAAAAACAGAAAATTAGGAATCAAAATCTAAGTTCATTTGGTGAGATTCCTCTTAAATTCACCAATGTAAAAGCCAGGCCTGACCCATGAGGCCAAGGGCAAAGGCACAGAGGGTGAACCAGTCCAGGGTAAAGGGCACTGTTGCTGTCCAGTCCCTTTTTGCTTTGTGTTACTGCAGGACAGTGTGAGGCCTGGAGAGGGTCTGGGGCTCTTACGCTCCAGAAGCTTATCCAGTGTATATAAAGCGTAGAGGCTGGCGTCCTGTAACTGGTCAATAAACCTTAGTTACTATCCTCTTCGTCCTCCTCATCGTCATCAGTGCTATTAATGCAGGTTTATGGAGGCAGTAAAAGGTCTTGCAAAGATGAAATTATGGAACCAAACATAATTTTCGTAGATTCAAAAAAAACCTAGAAAGTTTTTTACATCAATTTTTAAAAGCCAGATGTAAAATAGCACTTCCAAAAGTGTTTCGGACAGCTCCAGACCCGTGTGAGGTCGGTGGGCAGCGCCCGCGCAGCAGGTGGCGGTGTGCTCAGCCCACGCGGCACTCAGCGAGCTGCAGTGCGTTTGCCGCGCCGTAGGGCTTCTCTGAGCGTTTCATGCACTGAAGGACGCTGTTACTCTCTAAAAGGTGGTTACAATATGTTGGTATTTCACTAGTTTAGTTAACCACAGAACCCTTTTTATTTTTCTTAATAAGGGTTTTCATTACTAAACGCTAAAGTTTCGGTCTGAAAGAACAGAATCCTGGAGGGTTTCTGAGTAGGACATTAATATGGTGAAAATGGTGTTTGGGGGAAATTATTTTATTTTATTATTTTAAAAATATTTTTTAAATTTATTTTTAGAGGTGGGGAGGGACAAAGAGAGGGAGAGAAGTATCAATGCCAGAGAGACACGTTGATCCGTTGCCTCTCAGGCACCCCCGATTGGGCATCTGGCCTGCAACCCAGACATGTGCCCTGACCAGGAATTGAGCCGGCAACCTTTTGGTCTGCAGGCAGGTGCGCAGTCCACTGAGCCACACCAGCCAGGGCTGGAGGAGATTATTTTAGAAGGTACATATAAAGTAATTAAGAGATAGTAGGGAGTAAATGATGAGAGATTTTTAGTAATCAACACTGGAAAACTTGGCTATTCGCAGGGCCAGAGAGAGGTGAATTTCAGAGAAAATAAAAGGAGGTCATTGATGAAATGAGGGGATAGTTGTGGCTTTAGAGGCAGGTCTGAGTCCAGTGTTCCTCCCGGGCCTGGGTAACTGGGCACAGTTGTGCCCATGAATGTGATGAAGTCACTAGGAAAGAGAAAACTGTTTAAGAAAGGGAAGGTCAAGCTTGGCTGAAACACATTTGTCTCCAAATCAACCCAGTGCTTCCAGACAAAATAAAAACTATAAGGCATTTAAAGTTAGTACTTCGTATTCAGGACAAGTTCCCTGAGGGCCGGGAGGGCAGGGATGGTGATCAGAAGGGGCAGGTCTGGACAGACTGGATTTGGGGAAGCCCCGGCCTTCCTCTGGTCCGCCTGGGCAGACCTTCCGGCAAGGCTCAGGGTTGGGTTAAGGATAATATTCTCACAGGTGTGAAGAGGCAGGGTGCGGGGGCCTGCTGCGACCTCACGTAGTGTGGTTTGGAGAAAACCTGGACCCTGCCATTCTGGAAGAAGTTGACAGAGAGCTGGCCCTCTGTGACTTATGTCTAGTGGTAAGTCATGTCCTTCCCTGATGGTGGGCATTTTCTGAAACACCAGAACTGGGGTGGAGATTGGTCCCTCCCCCACCCCTCCCCTCCCTCCTTCTCCTTCCCTTCCTTCCTTCCTTCCTCCCTCCCTCCCTCCCTCCCTCCCTCCCTCCCTCCCTCCCTCCCTCCCTCCCTCCCTCCCTTCCTTCCTTCCTTCCTTCCTTCCTTCCTTCCTTCCTTCCTTCCTTCCTTCCTTCTCTTGAGATGTGTTTTGAGTGGCCTTGTGGTGTCCTAAAGAAAAACTAAGAAACAGTGAATAAGAATTGATCTGAAAATACAAAACTATACAAGACCATGTCTTGGGCTTCTTAAAGCCGTCTCCCCCTTAAAAAAATCATAAAAGGAGCATGTTATTGGTTCTGATTTTTAAAATAATATGTGCTAATAACTAAATTTAATTGAGAAAATACAAAAAAAAAGCAACTAGAAATCACTAATAATTCTTCCATCCAAAAATAATGTGTTGGCCTTTTAGTATGTTTTCTTCCAGACCAGGCATGAGCAGACTGTGGCCTGCGGGCCAAATCTGACCTGCCCCCTGTTTTTGAAAATAAAGTTTTATTGGAACACAGCCACGCTTCTTCTTCGTTGTGTAGTCCATGGTTACTTTCATAGTACAATGGCAGATCTGAATGTTTGCAACAGAGACCATATGTCCTAAAGAGCCTAAAACATACTCTATTTGGCCTTTTACAGAAGTTTGTCCACCCCTGGTCTAGACCTTTCCATAGCAGATGTGTGCATATTGACTACAGTTTTTTTTTTAAAGGGGTTCATACTCCCAAAATACTAACTTTGAAAGACTATATGCACTCCTGTGTTCATTGCAGCATTATTCACAACAGCCAAGGTGTGGAAACAACCCGTGTGCCCAACAAGAGCCAAGTGGCTTGAAAAAGCTGTGGTACAAATGTACAATAGAATATTATTCAACCAAAAAAAGAACTATTTGAGACTGAATGGATGGACCTAGAGGGTGTTATGCTCAGTGACATGTCAGTCAGAGGAAGACACCATACGATTTCACTTATATGTGGACTCTAAAGAACAAAATGAACAAGCAAGATTGAAACAGACTCAGACACAGAGTGGACTAGTGGTTGCTGGCAGGGAGGGGGGGTTGGAGAACTGGGTGGAAGAGGTGAAGGGTTGGAGAAGTATGAAATGATCATTACAAAATGGTCAGGGGATGTAAAGTACAGCATGGGGGATACAGTCAATAATATTGGAATCACTGTGTATGGTGCCAGGTGGGTACTGGAAATACTCAGGAGAACACTTTGTAAAGCATATTATTTTGTACCCACCATGCTGTGCACCTGAAACCAATACAAAACTAAAGTAAACTATAATTTTAAAATTTAAAAAATGAAATTGAAAAATGGCCTTATACTATATCTTATGTTTCGAAACTACTTTGTTCATGTAGCAATTCACTTAGCATATTCCATGTCAGTACATTGATGCATATCATCTTTTAATTGGCTGTGTGGTCTTCCCGTGTATATTTTCAACTGATCCTCTATTGCTGGACATTCAGGATGTTTCAAATTTTGATATTTTAAACAACACTATGGTGAATAGCCTCAGACATAACTGTTAACAAGCTCTTCAAATTATTGCCTCAGGAAAAATTTCTTAAAACTGGAATTATTGGACAAAGGGTAGGCATATTTCAGATTTTCCTTAACATGTCTTTAGAAACAGAGGCACTTTCTCCTGGGGGCCTACTTGTCCTGCCAGTACCTGCTGAGTGCATCCCAAAGCTGAATGCAGGGACAGTATTCATGCTACATGGCTGCAGCGAGACAAGCTGGCTTGGAAATACATTCTGGTCTTCGCATCCCCCCCAGCTCTGCCCTCAGCAACCTCAGTACTTGAGTTCGGCTAAGAATTCAGATCCAAGACTCAATTATAAGCACAAGTTACTTTAGAAAGTAAGGGGGGGCAGAAGAAGTGAGCGGTGGGAGAAGTAAGCCAGCTGGCCTCTGCATGGTTGTAAAGAATGTTTATAAACCTATATTCATAGAGAAAAACCTGAAAGAATATACATCAAAATGCAAACAGTGGTTATCTTTCGGTGGTAGGATTATGAATGATGAGTATGGGTTTTTTAAAATTATCTAACTTAAAAAAGGGACATAGATTATTTGTATCATTTCAAAGAGCAGAAACAAAAATAAAATTAACCCCAAAAGGTGATGATTCATTTTGTTGCCACTCTCCATTTGCACAATTCTCCTTTTCATGTCTGAATTCCAGTATCAGCCAAAAAGGCGCCTCCTGACTTCCCATTTGCCCCTTAAATGCTCTCCTTTTATCCCATCCAGCTTAGTTTTCCCCATACCTGCAACCACAAACCTATGTGAGATTTTCTGAAAAAATGTTTCTTCTCTGCACAGGGTGGTCACTTGTCTGTCTCCTGTCTGTTTGCTTGCAGGTGGGCACGTCCTCTGTGGTTTATCCTGCCGCCATGTTTGCCCCCCAGGTGTCGGCCAGGGGAGTGCCGGTGGCCGAGTTTAACATGGAAACCACCCCGGCCACGAACAGATTCAGGTACAGGGATTACCAAGGTGGGAGATGGAAGGGATTAAGCAGGTTCGGGTATGGTCCTCTGAAGAGATTTTTACCTAGTGTTCTAATTAAACAAAAAAGGCACACCAAATTTGTATTTTATTTGGTCTGTTGTTGCTTCTGTGGAAGAACAAAATATTAACTGTAGACAGAGGTGGCTCTTTTTACAAGGGGTTTGTCATAGGCCTTTTATTTTTTCACATTTTGAAAGCTCTTCTTTGATTCCTCAGGCTTTGCTTTCAGTTGTATTTTTAAACCAGATTTAGTAGCAGCAGGCATTTAGATGTTGGTAAGCCTGGAAGATACCCACTCAGAACTTCATCGCCTCTGCTTTCATAGTGAGGCTACCTGGGCACATTCCCCTGGCCTGATGGCCAGGAATATTTGTACCTGTGGCCATATTCCCAAGTTGACTCCATTCCCCACGTCTGTGTGGACAGAGTGCATTATCACAGTGTGCAATTTCAGTCCCATTCCATGTCTTCACCTTTGTTTTCCTTTCTTTTTTTCACCCTTGCTTTTTTGTCTTCACTTTTAATTTACTTTTTATATTATTGTCAGTCTGCTTAATTAATTTCTAGAATAAGATAGGATATAAATAGCTAAAAAACAAATATAAGTAAATAAAATTATAAAAACACCACTGAAATTCTTGTCGTTACTTTAATCAGTGGTTTTCAAACTTGTCTGCTTATTTTTAAAGTGCTGATGAGCAGGTACCACCCATGACATTCTCATATAACTGGTCTGAGGTGGAGCTTCTGAGGTGATTCTAATGTACAGCCAGGATGAAAACGTCTGCTCTGAGTCTTCAATGGTATAAGAAGAAAGTGCCACAAACTGTGCAGAAACACAGTTTAATATGATCCTCTTCAGGTGGCTTAGCTGGCTTTTGTCCTAGTCTTCTCCAGGTCTTTTAAGTCAGCTATGGCCTGTGTCCTCAGTCCGTAGTTCTTTGTGTGCAAGTGGTAGGAACTGGAAAGACATCCTTTAAAAAAATTGCTCTCTCTATAAAACTTACACTGAAGTGCAGAATGTTATTGAAAGAGATAAAGAAGACCTAAATATGTGGAAGGACATCCGTGTATATGGACTGGACAGTCTTGTACAATGAAGACTGTACTCCCCACGTTGATCTGCAGATTCATCCATCTATCAAAACTGTAGCTGGCTTCTTTGCTGAAATTGATAAGGTGATCCTAGAATTCATATGAAAATGCAAGGGACCCGAATAGCCAAAACAAGAAGAAGAATAAAGCTGGAGAACTCACACTTCCCAATTTCAAAACTTTCTACAAATGTTTAGTTTCTAAGACATTGTGGTACTAGCATTAGGATAGACATGTGGTTCTGTGGAAGAGAATTGATAGTCCAGAGATAAACTCTCACATTTATGGTCAACTGATTTTTGAAAAAAGTATGAAGACAAAGCAATGATGGAAAGAAGTCTTTTTAGCAAATGGTGCTGAAGTAGTTGGACAGCTGCATACAGAAGAATGAAATTGGAGCCCTTTACACCATGTAAAAAAAAATAACTCAAATGGATCATAGGCCTAAATATAAGGGCTAAAAATATAAAATTCTTAAAAGAAAATGCAGGAGTAAATCTTTGTGACCTTGAGCTTGTCAAAAAGCCTTTTTGATATGACATGGCATCAAAATCATAGGTAACATAAGAAAAATGAATAAATTGGACTTTATCAAGATTAAAAACTTTACTTTAATGGACACCATTAATAAAGTGAAAAAGACAACCCACAGAATGGGGGAAAATATTTGATAAGGAACTTGTATCCAGAATATATAACTAACTCTCACAAATCAATAATAAAAAGACAACCCAATTAAAAAGTGAGTCAAATATTTGAATAGATAGTTCTCCAAATATAGACATATAGTCAATAAGCACACTGAAAAGATGTTCAGCATCCTTAATCTTTAGGGAAATGTAGATGAAAACCACAGCAAGGTTCCACTTGACAACCTCTGTTACGGCTGTACAGTAGTCCCTTCTTATCCACAGGAGGTACAATCCAAGACCCTCAGCCGATGCCTGAAACCAGTGTGAACCCTATATACACTGTTTTTTCCTATACATATGTGTCTATGATAAAGTTTACAAATTAGGCACAGTAAGAGATTAACAACAATAACTAATAATAAAATAGAACACTTACTATTTAATTGTAATAAAAGTTCTGTGGATATGGTCTCTCCAGATCCCCTAATGGTGCTGCGCTCACTGTCCTTGTGATGGTGTGAGATGATCCAAGGCCCATGCAGCATGATGCAGTGAGGCGCTCAAACGGCCTGCAGCTTAAAACTTATGACTTGTTTACTTCTAGAATTTTCCAGTTAAAATTTTTGGAGTGAGGTTGATTATAGGTAACTGAAACAAACCATAGAAAGTGACACCATGGATAAGCGGAACTACTGTAATTTAAAAAGCAGAAAATAAATGCTGGTGAGGAAATTGGACCCCTCACACATTGCTGGCGGGAATGTACAGGGGTGCAGCTTCTTTGGGAAACAGACTGGCAGTTCCTCAAATGTTAAACACAGAGTTGACGTAGAACCCGGCAATCCCACTCCTAGGAATATAGCCAAGAGTAAGGAAAACATGTTTACACAAAAACGTGTACGTGAATGTTCATAGCAGCATTGCTCATCATAATCAAAAAGTGGAAACAACCCAAATGTCCTTCACCTGAGGAGTGGATAAACAAAACTTAGCATTTATACAATGGAATATTATTCAACCATAAAAATATTGAAGTGCTGACACACGCTACAAGCTGGATGACCCTTGAAAACATTATAATGAGTGAAAGAAGCCAGATACATAAGACCACATATTGTATGATTTTATTTATGTGAAATATTCACAGTAGGAAAATCAGTAGAGACCAAAGGTAGATTAATGGTTGTCTAGGATTGCAGGAGGGAGGAATGGGGAGTGACTGCCAGTGGGTACTGATACATTTTGGGGGTGATAGTGTTCTAAAGTTGACCTTACTCATGGTTACACAACTCTGTGAATATACTAAAAAAACTAGTCATATATTAAGTGAACAGATTATATGTAAATTATGTTAACAGAGCTGTTTTAAAATAATATTGTCTTCTAATTTAACCACTGAAAAATGGACATCAGGCCTCTAATATGCATTGGGTCACACATGTGTACCTCCTGGGCTGGTTAGCGTCATTCAAAGTGATACCAGAGCCACGTACCTGGAACCCCTTGTCTACTTGAAAGAGCATCAGAATACTCCTAAGAGAGGGATGGGTGAACTTTCTGAAGGAGCAAATGAGCTACGTCCCAATTCCATTCATCTAATGTGGCTTATTTTCAGTCATGAAATAAGCCACATCTTTAGCTCATCTCAAATGAAGTATGAAGAATTAAAACAGACCATTATTATATTAAATTAAGAAATGCAGACAGGGAAAAACTTGTGTTTCCACAACCCAAGATATGAGATGGTGTCTGCCTCTCATGCTCTGCACCAACTAGTAGTAGGTTCTGGGCATCCATTGTGTATGTCTTCATGTGAAATGAAATTGAACTTGGTAGTTCAGAAGAGATTCTTGGCATGTAATGACATCATTTCATAAGTCAGATCTCCTAAGCCCACAGACCTCTTCAACTTGAATTGTTCAGACTCACATCCTTAAAACCTACAACATCTCTGTTCAGACAAACAGGCTACTTGCTAGTAAGAAACTTTGATAAAAGTTGACAAGCTACCCATTGACCAGCAGCCACCACAAGAACTACCATTTGTTGGCTTCTTTGGGGAGCTGAGGCTACCTGTACCACTCAGTCTGGGGATTTTCCCAGAGAAGTATAACTGACCAGTGAGGCCAACAGTACTTTTATCTGAGAGTCATCAAAGCTGACATTTAGAAGAGATGAGGGTGATCATATCATCCTACTCAAATATTCAAGTGGGAAACTGAGCCTGGAGTGATTGAGTGGCTTGTTCAAACCCACAGCTTAAAAATGGCAGAAGTTTTCTTACGTGTCATGTAGTAACACGTTTTGGTTGAATGTTACTCTAGGTCTGGGCCAGCAAACTACTGCCTGTAGGCCAAAGCCGCCCACACCTGTGTTTGTAAACAAAGCTTTGTGGGAACTTGGCCACGGCCATGCGTTTAGGTATTGCCTATGCTGCCTTTGCACAGTAGCAGAGTTGAGTAGTTGTATTTACTTGCTGGCTCTTCACAGAAAAAAATTTGCCAACCCCTGCTCTAGGTTACTGAGAAAAATGAAAATTGGAATACTATTTGCTTTAATCTGATTTTCTTTAAGTAGGGAGCTGAAATGCTGCCTTACATTTTAGACTTGAATCTCACAAGACTCTTCAGACCTTGCACAAGTTCTTTCAATTCTCTGCCCCAATTCTCATTTAGAGACCAGGTCATAGCATTTGCCTCCCACTGAAATATGTTAATATTTCAAGGTGTTAATTAGTTCTAGTTTTGTGTTCGTCATTTTCCCCATCCCCAATGGCTGTCTTGGGTGATTTCTGACAAACCATTACTGATAGTGCATCTTTGGATTCAGGCTTCAAGGCTCTGACTGTTACCCACCCTCAGGATCCTTGGTGTGTGAAGGTCATTGCGTTTGCTGGGATTCATGGGCCCAGCCAGGGCGTTGGTGCGTAGGGCCTTCTAAGAACCTGGGCCCTCCACACCCTGCAGCCACCATGATGTTCAGTTTTTAATTTGTGTAAACTTTGGAATTTAATTGATGTCTACAGATATTTATGAATTAACTCATATGTTCTAGACACTGTTCTAGGTGCTTAGAATAGGACATATCAGTAGACAAATAAAAAAATCTGCCGTGAGAAGATGCCACTCTAGTGGTGGAGGCAAACAGTACACAATAAGCATAAATTTATTATATGCAAACTCTATAGCATGTGAGAATGTGAGTGACCTTCGGAAGAAGCAAAGGTGGAGTTGTGGATGGGGTGCAGGGAGGTTGCAGGGTTCAGCTGGGTAGTTAGGGCCACCCTCATTGAGAAGAGATTTGAGCAGGCTTGAAGGCAGTGAAGGAGGTAGCTAAAGAGATGATCAGGACTAAGAGCTTTTTAAACACTGGGACCACCTAGAGCAAAGGCCCCAAGGGGGAAGCATGCGTGGGAGGTTGGAAAGACAACAAAGGGGCCAGTGTGGCTGGAGTAGAGGGGGAGGGTCCCAGAAGACACAGTCAGTGAGGTAGGGAAGTAACGTGTTTGCGCTGGGAAACAAGTGGCCCCAGTGAAAGCTAATTGCTGGTGGAGTTTAGAAGACTTAAGTCATTCTGTGCTGGACAGTGATTTTATGGGTTGCTTAAATTATGTGTTTACTTATCAAGAGTGTAAAGAGGCTACTTCTTTTAATTCACAGTTGACTACATTTGACAGGGAAGCCCAGGACCCTATCTGGCTGCATTGGCAAGGGGAGCTTGTAAGGGCCCTTTTAGCCTGTGCGTTCCATCAGAGCCCTAGTGGTCTGTTAATTAAAAAAAAAGTCAGCCCTGACTGGTGTGGCTCAGTGGGTTGAGTGTTGTCTTGCAAAGCAGAAATTTGCTGGTTTGATTCCTGGTCAGAGCACATGTCCGCGTTGTGAGCCAGGTTCCTGGTTGGATATGGGCAAGAGGCAACCAATAGATGTTTCTCTTTCACATCAGTGTCTCACTCCCTCTCTTCCCCTTCTCTCTCTAAAAAAATAAATAATAAATAAACTCTTTTTAAAAAGTCATTTAAAGAAAGAATAATAATAAAAGACATATTTTAAATATTTTCATTTAAAGCATAAATGTATATTCATTTTTTTAGTAGGAATCTGCAGATCGGAGCCCACCTTTCTTGCATAATCCTCTTGGTGTTCCCCAAATTTTCCCAAAGATAAAAACCACCCAGCCCTTATTTTATAAAACTACTCAGACAACCAAGAAAATCAGATACCTAGGCGCTGGTGTACATTTCCTAAATCAGAATGACCAGCACAAGAGGACTGTTTATTTGTGTATTTAACGGGGGACTCAGGCAACGCTTATCATCAGTAATCTTGGAAAATACTGGATTTCAATTTCTAGTTTTGATGTTTTTTTCCTTTTTCTAAGTGGAGAAAGAATGTACAAAACGAAGCTTATAATGCAGTCTTCCCCCCAGTCTTTTCCACTATGGCTAATTTAACAACTATTTTTAGTGACTCTATGTGTTCCTAAGGCATTCCATTAATATTCCTAGAAATAATCCTCTTTTAACAGCTATATTTTTGCAGTTTATAACAACATTTTAAATTCAATTGGATAATTACATTAGCCAATAAAAATGGCATTAATAACGGGTTCTGGAACTCAGTACTCTTGGATATTCTACAACTTCGGGCTGGAGCAAAGTGCGTGGGAGCCAGGACACGGGTCTTCAGACATTTTTGTTCATGTACCTCTGTCACGTTTGTAAACTTGACATCTAAAATTTCATATCAAAATCATGAAAAAAGATGTGATTCCAAGAGTACTGGAAATAAAATGTGACATTTTAAAATAAAACAGCCATTGTTGTGGTTTTCACTGCATCCAGGCAAGTCTGGTGATGCAAGTGCTCTATACCCGTCACCCTCCATGTGCACATTAAACATGCAGACCTTTTTCTTTTAATTTTTTATAACCCCCCCCACCAAGGATACATTTTTATTTATTGGAGAGAGAGCACAGGAGAGAGAGCAACGGTGACAGGTTGCATCCAGTTCGCACCTTGACGGGGATCGAACTTGGAACCTCAGGGTTTCCCGGCTGATGCTCCAACCAAGGGCGCCGTCCAAGTGGGCGGGGGAGGGGGGCGGGGCACAGCCCTTTTTAACAGTTGGAGCCTCCACAGTTTTTCTCTTCGAACTTGTATTTCCATTCTGCTTCCATGACAGGAATTTGTACTAATGTAATATATTTTTATGTTTGAAAATCTTTTGTTGACTCCCCTATTATACTTCTGCAACAAAATATCTGATGGATTACTTATTTTCAATTTCCTTAAAACTTAAATGTTCTCTTAAAATTTTTGTCTAGATTGATTTATCACTACAGCAATTTGTAGTATGTAGTTGTTTAAAACAACAAACAACTGGTAAATTTGATGAACACTCCCATAAAAGTAAAATTTTACTGGTACTGCATCATGGGACGTGCATTTTTGGCATTAGTTCATGTATCCATGGCTGAATACTATGGAGTGTTAGGAGACAGACCCTTCACATGGTAGCCCACGGTCACCAGAACTGAGCCTGTAGTCGGGGAAGACAGGCTTCCTGAGTGAGTGTGACGAGGGAGACCCCACTCCAGAGGAGACAGGGGCATGTCCCCAAACAAAGGAAAAAGCACAATTATAGGATTTGTTGGGAGAGGGAGGCGTAGGTGAAATTTAAATGAAGCAGTTATCAATAGACGGGCAACCGGTAGGGCTTTGTGAAAAGGGGTTCAGTGGGTCTGGCTGGCAAAGTGGCCTCAGGGTCCTGTGTCCTTGGAAATGACAAAGGAAATGTAGGTGTGGACTGTCATGTCCAGACACCCCTCCCCTGGCAGTCAAGGCCACCTGGAAATCAAGGCTGCACCTCAATGGCAAAGTGACTCAGATCCTCTAGGCACAAGGTCATTGTTCATTCTTTACTGCTTTAATTTCAAACAGCAAAGTTTCTGATACTTTATCATTTTAGAAGACAAAATTCCTCAGTGAGTAAAAAAAGGTATGTAGTTACTCAAAGAAGGGCATTGTTATGAATCTTTACAGCTTGTCCTAGGGAAAAATACTGTTTTCTATTCACACTGCAGCTCGCTGCCTCCACGTCTCTTACCCCAGTCTGAGGGATGGCAGGGCAGGTTTCCACTGGCCCAGCTCAGTCTTACATTTTTAGTGTCCACTGTAATTCTTAGTTTTTCCTTTTCATAGATGGACATACAGAGAGTCCCTGGCCACGTAAACCCTGACATGAAAGGAATTTCCGTATGGCATGGCCACTCACATTTTGGACCGCCTTCCATGTTATATGCTAAAATATCCATACTAATTTTATATTTCACTTTGTTATCTGTTAATGGAAAATTCTATCAGGCCCTCTTTCAATCTTATTGAAAGCAAGAATGAAATGACCCTATTTGCATAAGGATGTGATACCCAGCCTTTAGAAATCATTTGTTTGCTTTCTTTAATCTACACTGGTATTTCCAATGGCTGTTTTTCCATAGGCTTTCACATTTCACATTCTGGGCTAAGGCACCATTGTAAGCTATGGGGCATGTGAGGGGCACAGCTTGCCTTTGTGATGTGGGAGAAGGGTGACTGTGGAAGGGGGCACTGGATAGTCACTTTCTTAGGGAGGAGGCCATGTGGGACTGGGGACATGGAAATTTTCTAAAAGCTCTCCGTGCCTGGCTGTAATTCTTGGAAAGTTCTCAAGGGACTGTAGCCACTGTGCTGGTGAGGAGTTTTCTGGTGGCCAGCGTGCCCACGCTGCGGTGGCAGAAGGAGTGGGAAGCCATTTGGTCAGGGAGGCCCATTAGTGGCCCTGTGTGGAGACCACAACGTATTTAAGGGAGAAGACATTCACCATCTGTACTGTGTCAAGAGTAAATAATATGATAAATTACATTGAGCAAGTGTTTTTTTTTTCATTTTTGATTATGTTCAATTGGTTTTCTTATTAATAATACACTAGAAAAAAATACCTGCTTTTACTTCTTATTCAGAGTTGGGCTTTTCTTTTTCATGCCCTAAGTGTTTTCTCTTGAAGGAAGCAGAAATCATTGATTTTTCTTCCTCCTCTTTGCACTTTCTTTTTTCTCTTTTTTCCCTCTTTTCTGACTAAGAGCTTGTTGTGAAGTTCAGTGGATGGTTCAAGGGGCCTGTTGACTCAGCTAAAGTCCTGATGGTCTGTATGATGCATGAGGTTACTTTCCTCTTATCCTTAGTACAGATGAATTCTATTTTAATGTAGTATATGGATATTATACAACTTTAAAACTTCAGTCAAGTTTGGCAATACAACCATGAAATACAAATTTATAATTACATCTCCCCTTGCCCCTTAAAATAAAATTCTTCTTTATACCATCTAAATTCTAGGCATGGCCTTTCCTAAATTCTCTTGAGCATAAGGGCCAGTCTGTAGTGAAATGTCTATCTGGAGTTGTTGGAAACTACATGAAAGAAGTGGGCACCAACACTCACAGGACCACATTTGTGAGAATTTGGACTTTGCTCTGGGTGTAACTGAGAAGTGTGACTTGCTGAAGTAGTGAACAGGTTTAACTCCTAACTCTGCTGTCTTGGTCCTTCTGTTCCAGGTTTCACTTCCAGGGGCCCTGTGGCACAACTCTGCCCGAAGCCCTGGCTCCTCATGAAACTGAAACGGTTCCTTAATTGCTCTGGGGAAGGAAGATATTATAGTCCATCTCAATACCAGGCCTCAGATAGAGGAGACGCAGTCTTGTGGATGTCAAGCTAAATACTGGAGATCTAAAAATACCCTGTGATTTCCTGTCTGGCACCCAACCTGTGGATGACTGATAGGGCCTTAGAGGTAACAAGAGCAAATGTAGTTACAAGAAGTCAGAGAACTGTAAAGCTGATGCATGTTATTTGGCTTGAACTTAAACATAAGATACCTCTGATGGGTTTGGTTGGTTATTGGGAGGGGGAAAATTCTAAGTTGAGTGTCTTAAAAATGTAATTATGCCATTTTTGCTATTTGGCAAAGATGGAAGTCGACAGGTAAAAACCTTGATATTTCTGACTTTTGCACAAGTTTGGATAGAAAATAAAATCACTCTCCGCAGTAAACAATGTGTTGTATAAAGATTTGGCCCCATGAGTTATCTTTGTTGGGGACATTTTCTTCTCAGTATTTAACTTGTTTGGTTGCTTTACTTCAGAGTATGTGGAATAGCTTAGAACAAGAACTCAGAGGTGTATGTGGAAACACTGTGCCTTCCTGCACAACCAAGTTTAAAGACAACAAAGATTTAGTAACAAAAACACAACCAAAACAGACAGAAAATTGAACTGTATGGAAGTCCGACAACAAAGAGCCATTCAGCCAGACTGGTAAGAGGGGCGGAGTCAGCAACTGGTGAAGCGGGGTCGTGCAGGAAAAGGTGGCGTGACCTACCCAGGCGCACAGGTGGTGGTTGGTGGATCCCACGCTCAGGGTGGCAACCAGTGAGGACACAGGGCAGCTGGCTGACCGTGGTCACACATTCACACACAGATAAACCAGGCAAAGGAACGAGCAGTGAGACAGACTGAGCAGGCTAGGGCCCCAGCGATGGGAATGAAAGCCTAAAAGCACCAATTGGAAAAACTTTCAGGGTCAAGGTGCCGGGAGAAGCTCCCAGGGTCACAGAGAGTTTGTTGGAGAGACCCACAGGGTCCTGAAGGGTGCACAAGCCCAAACACCTGTGAACCAGCACCATGGGGCCCAGTTTGCTTGTGGGAAGCAGCAGAGGGAACCAAAATTTGAGAGAGCAGAACAAATGCCATTGCCCCTCTTGGACCCCACCCCCACATACAGCATCACAACCCAGCAACTGGGTCGCTCCACCCTCTAAGGCTCCGCCCCTCATACATAACAGGCATGAACAGACCAAAACATTATGGCTCAAGAACAACAGCTCAAAGCCCCAGAGCCAATACTTCTAAATGACCAAGAGATAGCCAGCCTATCAGATGCACAGTTCAAAACACTAGTGATCAGGATGCTCACAGAACTGGTTGATTTTAGTCACAAATTAGAGGAACAAATGAAGGCTAAACTAATTGAACTGAAGAGAAATGCACAGGAAACCAATAGTGATGGGAAGGAAACTGGGACTCAAATCAATGGAGTGGACCAGAAGCAAGAAACAACCAAACAAAAAAGAATGAAGAAACAAGAACTCAAAAAAAATTAGGAGAGGCTTAGGAACCTCCAGGACACCTTTAACTGTTCCAACATCAGAATTATCGGATGTACCAGAAGGGGAAGAAGAACATCAACAAGTGGAAAACTTATTTGAACAAATAATAAAAGAGAACTTCCCCAATTTGGCAAAGGAAATAGACTTCCAGGAAATCCAGGGAGCACTGAGAGTCCCAAAGAAGTTGGACCCAAGAAGGAACACACCAAGGCACATCATCATTACATTAGCCAAGATTAAAATGAAGGAGAGAATCCTAGAAGCAGCAAGAGATAAGGGGACAGTCACCTACAAAGGAGTTCCCATCAGACTGTTAGCGGATTTCTCAAAAAAGACCTTACAGGCAAGAAGGGGATGGAAAGAAGTATTCCAAGTCATGAAAGCCAAAGACCTACATCCAAGATTGATCTATCCAGCAAAGCTTTCATTTAGAATGGAAGGGCAGATAAAGTGCTTCTCAGATAAGGTCAAATTGAAGGAGTTCATCATCACCAAGCCCTTATTATATGAAATATTAAAGGGACTTATCTAAGAAAAAGAAGATAAAAATATGAACAGTGAAAGGCCAGCAAACTCACAGTTATTAACAACCACACCTAAAACAAAAGCAAACTAAAAGGACAGATCAGGAGCAGAACCATAGAAATGGAGATTACATGGAGGGTTAGTAACAGGGGAGTGGGAGGAGGAGAAGGAGGGAGAAGGTACAGAGAGTAAATAGCATAGACGGTAGGTAGAAAATAGGGGGCAAAGCAAGAATAGTATGGGAAATATACACTCTAAAGAACTTATGACACATAGACATAAACTAAAGGGGAGGGAATGATGGGAGGGGGTGTGTGGGGTGGAGGGGAATGAAGGGGGGAGAATGGGACAACTATAATGGGACAACAATAATCAATAAAATATATATTTTTAAAAAAGAACAAGAACTCAAGCAAAGAAGAAAAAGTAGTAACGACAGAAAAATCAGGATGAGATCATGAACAAAATGATGCAAATATAAAGATTCTAAAGGCAAACACAATTGCCTAAAGTTTAGTACTAGCCTTCTTAGCAAACAAGGAGGAAATAGCTAATGGTTGACTTTCTTAAAATCATAAGCTCAGAAGCACACAGCTCCTCTAGGGTCTGCCAGCCTTTCCCAGACACTGAATTCTGAAGAGTGTTTCCCATGGGACTTTACCTTGGAATGAAGTAGCAAGAAAACAGTCCTCACCTCAAGCCCCATCACCTAATGCAACACCCAGGCCCTTAGAATGCCTGATTGCCGTCCAGCAAGCATCAAAGGCCTGACTGTGAGGAGTGGCCTTTAGGAACCTGTGTAGGAAGGTCATACATGGCAAGGTTCCTTGGATCAGGTGACTCCCTGAGTGATTACAAACCTGGCCACATCACCCAGCCCCATTTGTAAATGCAAGTTACAAAATTGCATTTAATGTTCCATCCTGACTTGGCTTTTGTGGACATAAATGACAAGATACTATCACATAAAACTTTGTACTGCATTTGAAAGTCACATCTTTGAGGAAATCCCAAAGGCCCTTCATATGGACAAGAGGGATGTTCATAACCTACAAGGAGGCTGAAGGGCCAAACCGTAGGCTTCAATTCACACTTTCTATGGCTGGATAAGGCATGTACACTAGGGGACGTGTGTGTAATACTTATTATGGAGTTTCTGTGCGTAAAATACTATCATCGTTCTCTTTTAACAGGTTTGTTGGTGGACTTCTTGAAGTTACTTTATACATTTTCCTAGTGTTAGCAATGATGGAAGTCAGCACACTGTCTCAGAAAGTCTGATTATATTTTTAATTTCTATCTGACCAGGGCCCAGATATTTCAGAGGTGTTCTTTGCAACTCTCAAATTGGGGCCTTTGTAACAGCAGCTTTCTGTATGTCCGTGTATGTTTTATCATTTTTTCACATTGTGGTTTTATTAGAGAAGATGAAAGAATTGAAATATAAAATATGAGGTAGAAACTATTTACTGTATTGAATTTAATATTACTGAATATTTACCACACGATAAGCATTAGAAATAAAATAGTAAGACATGGACCTTACCCTCAAGGAGGGTTAACATAATGGTTGGGCCAACTTACTTTCTTTTTCTTTTTTAAAATATTTTATTTTTATTTAGAGAGAGAGGAAGGGAAGGAGAGAAACATCAGTGTGTGGTTGCCTGCGCTCAATCCACTGAGCTATGCCAGCCAGGCCTTTCTTTTTAAGATTTTATTTATTTACTTTTAGAGAAGGGAGGGGAGGGAGAAAGGAAGAGAAACATCAATGTGTGGTTGGCTCTCAAGTGCCCCCTACTGGGGACCTCTCCCACAACGCAGGAATGTGCCCTGACTGGGAATCCAACCAGGGACCCTTTGGTTTGCAGTCAGCACTCAGTCCACTGAGCCACACCAGCCAGGGCAGGTTGGGACAACTTTCATGTAAACTATTATGCAGTGTAGAAACTGCGGTAATGGAATTTGTGCAAGATTCACAGGAAAATGTAGCTAGAGATGGGCAGAGTCGGGGTGGGGTAAATGTTAAGGTGTTTGAAAGGTTTTTGAGGTATTGTATAAACAGGAGTTCCATGTGTGTATCAGAAGAGGGGACAGCATGTACAAATGATTGGCAAGTGTGAAACAGCGTAGTTTGTTCGGAAACTGATGGATGAATCATTTAGTATTGAATAAAGGGAGAAAATAAACACAGGTCATGATGGGCCATGTGTAAAAAAAAATGAAACACTTGGTGGGGAAGATAATACTAGGGTTGCATTCACTAAGTATGGCAAAGTCATTCTTTCACCAAATTCAGTATTTCCAATGGCTAACCATTGTTCCAGGTCTTGGGGTTACACCAGGGAATCAGACGGGCACCTACTCTCTCCCACAGATTACATTTAAAGGGGGGTGGGGGTGGCGGAATCAGACAATGAACTCTTCGGGAAGGTGTCAGTGATGAACTCATAATAGGCACGGACGGACTGGTAGAGGGGCTGGTCAGGGAAGCCAGAGAAACATCAGCAGAAGTCGCCAAGCACATATTTGGTGCCAAGCAGAGAATTGATTCAAGCTTGTCAATTTGTCCTGCCACTATAGCGCATTTCTTCTCTTTGAAACTTCACTTCTTCAGGGAGTGCAGAGTGAAGAGAATCCACTCTACAAATACTTTTTTTTAAAATTTATCTTTAGAGGGGAAGGGAAGGAGAGAAGGAGAGAAACATCAATGTATGGTTGCCTTTCGTGCGTCCCCTGCTGGGAACTGGCCTGCAGGGAACTGGTCTGCAACCCAGGCATGTGCCCTGACTGGGAATCAAACCGCGATTGTCTGGTTCGCAGGCCGGTGCTCAATCCACTGAGCTACTACAAATACTTTTTAACTGGAGACCAAGCAAATCCTGGTGCAAAAAGGCAGTGACAGAACTGGGGCTTGCGGTCCTCATTTTCTGGGAACCTCAGTTTCACTGAGCCCGCCTCAATGAGGCTTGCTGCCCTCTTGTCCTGCTCTCAGCATCCAGGCCAAGAAGGCAGCAAGATGTTTTTTGTTGTTTTTTTTTTTTTTCCTGCCTGGAAACCAGCGCCACGTGCACACCTTCCCATAGCTAGCTTTCCACGGCAGCTGCGGAGAATCACGCCCTGGAAACGCGCGCAGCCTCAGTTCCGGTGGGAGAAAACCCCGCCCCCGCCCCAACTTAGGCCACGCCTTCGTCCGCTGGGAGAGGGGCGGTCTTCCGCTTCCCAGCTCTAAGTGAGCACGGGGTGGGGGGAGTTCCCTTCCAGCTCCCCAGGAACATTCAACCATTGTCGCTTGCTCTTACGTCACACTAGGCTTGCGGATGGTTGCTTCCGGGTCAGAGGTTAGACGGTCCGGTGCGACCAGCGCAATGGTGCAGCTCCGGCCCCGCGCGTCCCGCACTCCGGCCTCCGCATCTGCGATGGTGGACGAGGGCCAGCCAGCCTCGGAGGAGGCGGAGCACGGTCTGTTGCTGGGGCAACCTAGCAGTGGCGCGGCTGCCGAGCCACTAGAGGAAGACGAAGAAGACTGGGACGACGAGTTTGACGACGAGGCCCCGGAGGAATTGACCTTCGCCAGCGCCCAGGCGGAAGCGAGGGAAGAGGAGCGGCGAGTCCGGGACACGGTGCGCAGGTTGGAAACCTTTGGCTGGGCCGGAGAACCTTCCATTCTGGTCCCACTTGTCTCACCCGCTCTGACGTGTCACCCTTTCTCTCAGGGATAAAACTCTCCTGAAGGAGAAGAGGAAACGACGCGAGGAGCTGTTTATCGAACAAAAGGTTAGAATGTAGGAGGCGTCTCCTTTTTAAAACAACCCGGCTCGGGGTACAATTTACGTGTTTATTGCAAAGCTGGTAGGATATAGGGGTGGGGAAAACGTCGCTAGTATTTCTTCTAACATGGGTGAAAACAAAGCTCTTTGCTGTCCGCCGACTGAAAATGGGAGTGGGAAGAGCTGTCAGTTTGAAATCATGCGATTAAACCCCACCTCCGACGTTCAGCTCGTTGTGACACCTGGCATTTCGCCTCACTGGGGGTAGTTTACCTGTAACTAGGTCACTGTTAGAATTAAATGAAGTGCTGGGTAAATTAAGGGCTGCACCAACATCAATATGATTGCTCTGTTATCGGATGTTTGGCAGATTGGCCAGACACCCGACTCCAGAGGACATTGCTTTCAGTGTTTGGCAGTGACATGAGGGTTGGGCACCCTTCCCAACTTTCACTAGGTCTTCCAAAGAATGTGGAATAAGTTCTGAGCTTTTTTATGATCGCAGTTTCCCTACAGCTTAGAGATAGTGGAGGCAGTGCTCAGCCTAAAAGAGGCTGTGTGTAAAATCTGTATCTTCAGAAGCAACCCAGGGTATATTGTCATGTAGCTCACTTTTTATTATTTTTAAATGTCTTCAAGAAAAGGAAACTCCTTCCAGACACTATTCTAGAGAGGTTAACTACCGCTTCACAGACAGAGTAAGTAATGGATCTTGTCATATTACTTGCTTACATACCTCCATCTTTGAAATACATATTGGTACATATATCTGAGTCTGTACAATTGAAGAAACAAGGCCTAAATTAAAAAGCTACACCGTAGATAATATGAAGTTGGTGGGAAAGGTGGAAGTAATTCACTTCCTTTTCAGTCTTTCACTCTGCCTTTTTGTTCATTCCCATTGCTAACTCTAGCTTCTGAGTTCCTAATCCCAGAGCACTTATTCATCAACTGTGAGGTTTCATTTGTCCTGGGGCAGGGTAGATGGTGAATAAAACATGTCTTGAAATTGATCATTTAGTGGAGTAGCACTCTATCTGCAGGCTCTTCCTCAAACTCAGCTTGCCCCGTACTTGCCGTACCTGCCACCAATTTGTCCTTTCTCCTCCTTCCCCATTTTACTTAGCAGCTTTGCCACCCATTGAATGTTTAAAGCCAGATGCTGTAGTCATCCTTTTCCTTATCTATCCCACGGAGTCAGTCAAACCTTACTAAACTTAAGAATTCTAAATATTTGTGTTTTTCTTCTGTTGTCTCATAGATCTATATCTTTGACCTGGTCCTCAGATTTTTCTGTAGAACTTTGCCAAAGTTATTCAGATCCCAAATACACTAAACATAAACACAAATTTATTTGGTGGCAGATTCCCTTTTTATCCTTTAAAACCAAACTCAAATGTCACCTTTTTATTCTCTCATTCCACCCACCCTGTTAACTTCCTTCTTTGTAGTGTTTGTTGCACGTGGTACAGGCATCTCTGTTTTGTTAGTTTGTTTTCCTTTGTCTCTCAGACCAGACGCCTCCACTCTAGTCCTTGTCTTCTGTGGTTATAACTTGTTACCCTTTGTGATTTCTTCAAATAAAACGAGGTAGGCCTACCACCTTTCATTTCATGTTTTAGCTGAGGTGTTTTATAACATTAAGTCTTTCACTTTAATTCCATTAACCACAGCAATCTGCTTCTTTTGGAAGCCTGCTGATATATATATACTTTCAGATTTTAAATTCTGAAAAGATACTTCCAACCAATATTTATTAGTTTGTTGATTAGGAGTTGGTGGCTGGGAATTTGGGGAGTAACTTCTTTCCAAAACTGATCAAAGGACAGGAGTCAAAACTGAGGACAGCGGTACCAAATGGGGCGGGGTGGGAGTGGAAGGACTTATTTCTAAGACCAAATTTACTTGTGTAATCTTTGGTATCTGCCATTCCAATCACTGTGCTGTTGTTCTCCCTTAGCATAAAGAAATCACCAGGGAAGTTAAAAAAAGGTACGAACTATTCTAATTTAAATAGCTTTTCATGAAAGTGTCTAGTGCTTTTGCAGTCAAATGTTATTGGCCCTTAGAAAGAGCTCCGGAATAGCACTGGCCAAGTTTAGCTTGGGCCTCTTCCCTTATTTCTTTTTTTAAATTCAAATACAGTTGTCTGTTTTCCTGCCACCACTTTCCCCTGCCCTGCCCACACCCACTTCCCACCCTCAGTCTCACCCCCCCGCTCTGTCCAAGGGTCCCTCTTCCCTTATTTTTTTCCTTTTTAATTGTTGTTCAATTAGAGTTTTCTGTCTTTTACTCCCATCCCAGCCCACCCTTATTTCTTAGAAATAAAAATTGCATCCAAATTGGTGGGAGTGGGTATTTAACACGAACTCCAGGAAGTGTTTTTGAATTATTTTTACATATGTACTAACTAGAAATAAAACTCAATTTTTTAGTTAATCTGCAGAAGAAAGATGAAGAATGTGAAAAAGGAAGTGATTCTAAGAAAGCTAAAGTACAAAAAGTACAGTCTGTTGGGTAAGAAAAGCCTTAGTTTCATGTAGGAATTAAAGTTATTAACCTTTGAGAATTAAAGTATTGCTTTATGTGGAAAAATGTTTTAATTAATAGCAGCTTCAGATTGGGTCTTCTGTGGGAAAACCAGTTGTGATCTTTATATAAAAAACTATCTGCTCTATTAAAATGTGAATATTAGCCTATTTCTTATAAAACAGCACTGTAATTTAGTTTTATTCATTATCCTATTGGTACATATACAAAATAAAGATTTTCACGTTTTGAGACAACAGAAATTACTTACAATAAAGCACATTATCAATATCATTCATTCTGACCTTTTGTATCGATCACCAGCCAGAATAAAAGTTACTTGGCTCTAAGGCTAAAAGATCAAGATCTGAGGGATTCAAGGCAACAAGCAGCCAAAGCCTTCATACAGAATTCTTTGTATGGTCCAGGAACCAACAGAACTACTGGTAATTTCCTTATTGATCATTTTTCTCACTTTGTACTGCAAATAAACAAAGAAATGATAAATAATTCTCTTTTCTAGTAAATAAGTTCCTGTCTCTTGACAATAAGAGGTTACCAGTGAAGAGAGCTGCAGCCCAGTTTCTGAGTAATGGTTGGGGTAAGGTCCAGCTTTATTTTGTTGGCTCTGATTGTTTTATATATTGAAGAATGCTCTTTTTAAAGGAAGTAGTAAATACTCAATTATGAATTATGTTTTTCTTATAAGCTTCTAAATTAATAGCTTCTAAATTCAAGTTGCTTCTGAAAATTATGTATGTACAGCTAACAAAATCTAATTTAATAGACCTAATTTTAGTATTTATATTCATATAGAAAATCGAAAAAATTTTTAAATTTTTCTTGGGAATTTGTATTCTTACTACACAAACTTTCTATTGTAGGAACCCAGAAAAAACAAAATGCCAAGAGATTTAAAAGACGGTGGATGGTCAGAAAGATGAAAACTTCTAAGAAGTAAATCAAAACTAAATGAAGAAAGAACTTTGTAATGTATGGAACTTGTAGTTACTTTGTGTAGAAGGCTGATTTGCCTTAAAAATATAATAAATCATTTTAAAGGCTCATTACAAAAGTCATAAATCTATTTGGGGAAGTACCCCATCACATTTCATCCTTTTGGAACACAGTTGTGCCTTTAATCCTTGGGGGTCCTGGAAGAAATAGCAGTTTAAAAGGAATTGCTTTCATTGCTTTTTATAAGTATTTATCCATTTACTTGAATACAAACACAACCAGTAATGGCACCTCTTCTGTCCCTCCCCCACCCCACCCCACCCCACCCCACCCCACGCCACGCCACGCCTGGGTGGCAGGAATGGCAGGAGGAAGAACTCTCAGATGCCTTAGTCTTTGGGTGTTTTGGTGATACTGATGAGAATCTGCTTCACAAAACATCTAAGTGTATATAAAGACCCACTTTCCTTAAGGTTCAAGTCTCAGTGTACAAAAATAGTATATAAAATAAGCAAAGAATATGGCCATCCACTTGAACAGCTTGTTTAAATTTTACTTTAAAAAGAGTATGGGGGTTTGCTTTATGGGCAAGTAATTCATGCCTTAATATGGTTATGAAACTAAGGAGATTTCTGAGTGACCCACAATATCAGGCTTGACTCTAATACAAGGAGGCTAGTAAACTGAATGCAGTTTTAGCTTGTAGAACTTAGATTTATAGTAAAAATCATTGATTTTAATTGCTCTAGTTTTATATTAATCATAAGTATGTAAGTACCTAATATATAAACTCAGTTGACACTCTAATATCTGTAGAAGTAAATTTTTAATGGCTGGTTAATTATATCACTACATTTTTATTGCAATATAGTACTCATTTAAGCACTTAAAAATGGAAGGTGTACAAAGATTAAATTAAGACACGGTAAATTGACTAAATATTTGGTTTTTATATAAATAAAGGTCATAACCACACCGTTGACATATAATACTGTTATAATACAAGTTAAACTTGTGAGTCTACAACAGAAGTCGTTGGTTGTTAAACAGGAAACAAAGTTGAAAAGACCATGTTAAAACAAAACTACTGGGACTAACAGGTTGGGATTGTAAGTAGCAACAAACGTATTCACTCAGCTCCTGAGTATTTCAAGTTTTACAGTACACATTAAAAATGATTTCTTCCATCAACACTATAAATTCAAACTGTCGGATGTTTATGCATTTTGCAAGTTACACTGATTGAATGCTTAAATGGGAGTGGGGGGTTGGAACATCTCCCAATTTGAAGTTTACATCACCCACATGCTAACACAACACAACTTGTTCCATTTCCTTCCCCGCTCTCCCCCCAACAAAGAAGGCAGGATTTTTTTGGTTTCTTTTAGGTAATTGTTTTAAAGGATTTGTGATGATAAATTCAAACATCTGAGATTCGGTAATATTTAACTCTTAGATATCTAAGAGGTTAAAGATGGAAAATAATTTCTCCTAACACTAAGTTAGAAAATCATTTGCATCATGCTGTAAACTAGGAAGCAATGTAAAGCGACAAAAACCTGTCCCCAGTACATAATTAAAAAAATCTAAATTTCAAATCAGCAGAGCTGGTCTACTTCCATGTTGACTATATGCCACAATATAAGTGTGAGCTCCTTAAATGCATAGCTAATGTAGGTAGTCTTCCACTGTGGCAAATGCACAGGATCCAATTCCTGATCGAGCCATCAGTCCTAGACATTGTGTGGCCTGTCCCATTGCTAGAGCAAGTGGAGGTTGCTTTGGCAGATTGTGGGTTTCTGAGGAAAAACGATTAAAAATGGAAATAACAATTAGCAAGACATTTAAAAAAATCTCTTTTCAAGAAAATATTGCATTACTTACACAATTATCAATGCATTTACTGCCCTTAACTAACAAGCAAAGGTGGTTTCTAAGCAATGATGAATGCCTTGCAGGCACTACTCTGGCAAGGCAATATGGGTACTAGGTGTTCAACTATAAGAAAAATTCTTGCAGAATTAGACTTTTAAAGTGTTAGATATTCTAAACCTTTTATTTCCATATTACCTATGATGGGAACAATACAATTTCTTGGCTGATACTTAATTGGGAGCATAAGAAATATTTATATTACTGTCTTTGACCAAGGAGGTCAGTTGACAATAGAAAAAGGCCAGATTCTTCTAGGGATACAATCAGACTGAGGCTGCCTGTCTTCAAAGCATATTGGTGAATGTTATTTGGGTTGGTAGGGAGCAAGGGGTGATGGTCACTATGAGAGACAACAGCAAAATTACTCTTAATTTTGGAGGGGTAACTTACAATCAGTAGGTCACACATTAAAAAAACTGCCAATAAAGTATTCAAGGTACTACATACCAGAAATCTGTCAGACAGTTGTAGTACAAATGTAATTAATAAAATTTGTTCTTTGCCAGAAATGAAAAAAAATGAACTAATGGTGGAAGTGGCCAAACATATAAGTTGCTAATTTTTCCTTCTGCGTAGACGTCTAATTTTAAGTTTATGTAGGTTCCCAATTAATGAAATTACTAATCAGTCCTTCATAGACATACCTGACAATAAAGGGCAAAAACTGATAAATGGTAAAGCACAGTATAATTTAATTCTACCCTTGGTTCTGAGGTTGCACTCTCAAAAAGAAAACTTCTACAAGGAATGAAGCAAAAATAATAAGGAAGCAAGTTCAGGAGTTCAAGTACAAGAATAAAAGGATCAAGAATATAAGAATCTGGGGGGAGGAGGTGAGGGGAATGGAGAGATGGAGCAAAAAGGATTCAATGGACATGGACGACAGAAAGGTTGGTGATTGTTGGGGGGGAGTAGAAGGATAAATGGTAATGGAAAAATACAATTAAAAATAGAAGAATAAAAATATGCAAAAAAAAGATTGTTGAGAAAGTGGTTTGAAAAGTGGTCTGGGTTAAGATTATTAAAGTACTGGCTATTCAGTAGCAAGATATTATTTGGCTAAATTTTGATAGTGATAAACTTTTTTTGCTGACTCAAAGCAGGATTGACTTTGTAGTTTACAATAATTCTGCCTTAATTTGAATCAAAAACAATTTAATTTTTATACAAAAATCAAACATTAACAAGGAATTAATACTAAAAAGGAAACATCCTTTCAAAAATGTCTCCTGAAGATTTACAGGGAAGTAACCTTGCTCAAATATAAGCATCTAGATGTACTTTATTACAATTTTATACTGGCCAGGGGGGGCAGGTGGTTGGTTATAAGCATTTAAAAAAATTTTTTGGATATGAAACTTGCAAGAATTACATACAACTAATATAACTTTAAGTACTACTTAAAAGATTATAAAATTTACTATTTATAAATATGTAGATAATCCCACAGCAATTTAATAATCTTAACTAATTTTTGGTGGGAATTATATATACTTAATATAGTAAATTTAAGCACTATTTATGGGTGAACCTACATAATACACAGTATAATATATAAGAATACATACTATCTTGGACAATGGCCCCAAGCAATTTAATATTTAAAAATTTCATCTCCTTCAGGAACCCAAGATAACAAAAAGCTGTCATTAAGAAAACTGGTCACTTTAAAAATTTTTTCCAAGTCTAAGTGTTATATAAATACAAAGTAATTAGTACTTCATGATTTCTTATAAGGCAGTAATATAAATTATGCTTTACCATAGAAGTATGGTAAAGCATAATTTGCCCTACAGTCCCAGCATTGCTACCTGCTTCTCTTACTTTTACCAATAGAGCTAAATGAATTTCATAACCAAAGAAATTACAACAAATTTAATACCACAAAATTTATATTTATTATATATAAATTCTAATTTTAAGAAAACACAAAGACACTACTCCTATTTCAAAACTTCAGTATGTATGACACATGATGATTGAAAATTAATTGTGTAAGGGCAAAGAAACAGACTAAAGCTCAAATATGATGAATACTTTTAATTGCTTGCTTTACATTTTGGCCATATGAGGGCCCCAAGCCCTCATTCTAAGTCTCTGTGTCTAAACACCCTCTACTCTGGAACTGTTCTAATCTAACTAAATTATTAATAGTTTGAAACTTGTTGGTGAAAGCCCCCAAACCTAAATGGTCCGAATCACACAGAATAGACTTTTAAATTGGAGTCCCATTTTACCCGGGAAATCAGATTCTAAAGTTAGGTGAAAAATCACTCTTAGCTAATTACCTTTGAAGAGAATTGCCCAGAAATTAAGTTTTAAGTAATCAACCCTATAGAGTTTCAATATAAATGCACAAAACATATAGTTACAGAATTCATATAGTGTATTTGTTCAATACATAATAAACACTATAATCATCCTATGTAGTGAGTTGCTCATAGGAATGGCAACCAACCAAAGGAACAGCAAATTCTAATTTCTCACTTCATGCTCACACTTGGCTAAACTTACTTAAATTGCTGTTCTTTTCCTCACACACCTTTTTTATTTGGTAAGGGCAGGGAGTTGAATATAAATGCAAATACATTTAACTCCAAGGGTTAATATTGATGGGGCATTCTCAGATCATCTGGAACCCCTTCTGCCTGCACAGTGAGAGCCGGAAAATGGGTAGCTCAAGCCAGAAATGTTTACATATATGCATACAAAATCAGCTCATTTCCAACTTCCCACAGATGCATCCCAAAGTACTGGTTTTATTCTATTTGAATCCATTTAATCTGTGACTGAAACAATGGTTTTTATCTTTTAAGGTAACTTTAATTTTAAAATGTAGAAAAACTTTCCCTAAGGATTTTATCAAAATATAAATGCCAGCACAAGTACCACCTCAAATATTCTGAATATCTCGTTGGAGTTGTGCTTTTTGGCTTCACTTACCTAATATTGCACTGTTAAGAGCTGAGCACACAGGTTCTCTCTGAATTGGGTCAAGTTGATTTCCAACAGGGCTGTTCCAAGGATCTGAATATGCTAGTAAACTGAATGCATCCTGTTGAAAATAGCAATTTGATTTTTAATTCAAATAACTGAACTACTGTGATCATCCATGGTTGGTTACAAATTGAGAGACAGGTAAAAGGCACTAAACTACTGTGGCATTTAAACCCATTTACCTATGGATATTTTAAACTAGGTTATGAAGCAAAGTCTAATGTGTTTTCATTCTTTCCATGAACACACAGTCTCATTATCTTCCCCCATCCCTACTGTACATATGGAACAGGAAAAAATATTAAAAATTGAAACAATGAATTCATGTGAAATGGGCTAATACTGGTTATGGTAAAGAGGAAGACTAAAACATTTAGATACAGTACAATGTATTATCACTGATAGGAATTTGCCATTAGAATGATAGGGCATGCCTACATATTGTTTCAAGTAGATATGGGAACTGGATGTTATCTTCTGACATCTTCTCAAATGCAGTAACCAAAAAAATTAAACTGACCCCCACTCAGGAACTCAGTAGTGCCAACCATCCTCAAGCCCCCCCATCCTAAAGTAGCTGACACATACACAGGAGTCTTTTCCCAACAATTCTTTGTCTTCTTTCTGGGGAGGCAAATAAATACACAGTGGTTTCAGACACTGCCATCAACCACCAGTGTGCATCAGTAGAGTGGCCTTTTAGCAAGTAACAAACTCTAAGAGTCAAGTTTCATCATTTGTGTAATGGGGGCTATCAGAGATCATATTTCACAGTCACATGAGGACTAATTGAGCTAAATGAAATTAGCAATGTCAGTTCATTCTAATCTTTCAGTAAATGATGTCTTATTCTGCCAAAAGTCAATCCTGTAATCTGGAGTAACGTATTTTTCAGACTATAAAATGCACCCCCACCCCAACATTTGGGGAGAATAATGGTTGTTAATGCTGATGTTGAGTTCTGTTTACATTTACATTGTGAAATATGTTATTTATGCTATTAAATATTTTACCACATTTTTTGCTTCAAAAATTTTTTCCTATTTTTCTCCTCTAAAACCTAGGTGCATCTTATGGTCCAAAAAGTGGTAATAATATAGGTATGGATATAGTTAGATAGAGGACATCTACCCAGTTCAGAAGGCATACACGAAAAGGTGCTGAGGAAATTGTAAATCTGTGAATTCAGGAACAACTTTCAAAGTGCTAATTATGGAAGTATGGAAGACTGACTCCTAAAACACAATCTCCTAGGTACAGCTCAAGTATTCCTCTAATGATCTTAGTGTTCTGAGAGCAGAGGTAGGGAAAAGGTTCCTGGTCACCTGTATTCTTGCCCTTTCTCGTCCAAACTGGTTTCCACATTGTGGAGATAAGAATTGTCGCCCTGGCTGGTATAGCTCAGTGGATTGAGCGTGGGCCTGTGACCCAAAGGATGGCTGTTCGATTCCCAGTCAAGGCACATGCCTGGGTTGCAGGTCCATTCCCAGCAGGGGACACATGAGAGGCAACCACACATTGATATTTCTCTCCCTCTCTCCTTCCCTTCACCTCTAAAGATAAATAAATAAAATCTTAAAAAAAAAAAACTGTCCATGAAGCAAAGCTTTGCAGTCCATCCGAGGCCACCAGACAGGAAATACATGTGTCTAAACGCATGTGCTCCTCTACTGTCGTCTACTGTGAGTATTTCACACCAGACTTTTTGCCCCAATTATAATGAAAGTTCTTTGAAGATTTAAAAAATATTATACCATTTTGAGTCTTCTGCAGCTACTCATATGTGTTGGGTACAGGGAAGAAGCTTCTATACCTGCTAGAAGCTTCTTCCCTGTACAGAAGCAGATCACGAGACCTGCTTCTTCTAGTTTTTAAGATATTTTATGCATGCCACAAAGCTACTAGACTGTATTTCCTGAAGAATGCCCCCATCCAAACTTATTGATGGGAAGAATATTAATATTTTATAAAGCTAATTCTAATCAATCACATTATTTCTAAAGACTGGGCTTTGCTCAAGACAATTTACCCCACAACCATCTAACGCGGTACCATCCCCACAGCACAGATAAACTTTGAAAGATATCCTCAAGAACTGTCCAAGGAATAATGGGTACGTAAAAACTTTAAGCACAAAACTATCCTCTTAGGTCATTATACTGGGACATGCTACCAAAAAGATGAAATATCCCAAGTCTCAAATTCATCATTCTTCTGTTTACACGCTCTGATACTTAAAGCAAAAACACATAATGATGACAGTAGTAATTTACTGTGCACTAGCACTGTGTGAGGCGATGTTTCAAGCATTCATGTGGATCATCTCATTTAATCCGCTCAATAACTTTTCAAAGTGGATACTATTATTTCCATCATTCAGAGATGCAAACTGAGGCAGTAATAGGTTAAGATCACAGTGCTAGTACTGTTATTTCTTTTAGTTAGATGCAATTCCTTTTAACTTTCAATTTAAATATCAAAAGGAAAAAAGTCTAAAATCCTGCTCTATTATTTTCAGTACAACTGAACAAGTATTTATTCGACACAGCAGCCAGGCAACTGAACACACACCGATCACCAAAATCTGTTTCAAGGATTCACAGAGTTTTGTGGGAAAGACAGACATGTAAATAAATAACATCATGTTGTGCTTACTAATGCAGTGTATTGTGTCATGTGATGCACTCACAGAAATAGGCTCAAGCTACATGGACACTGAGGCTGAGTGAAAGGAGAAAAAGGCATGTTTAGAACCATGGGTTAGAACCACAGGTTAGATCCTTAAAATGACTCCTAAGACCACAGTAATAAGCCTGAATTTCTTTTTTGCCAGTAAGGCAGTGGAATTTTATAGGAGTGGCACGGATTAGACTCTATTATATAGGGATCACACAGAGACACTATGAAACATAGTTTGGAAGCAGAGTGAAGCTGTAGCAAGGAAACTAACAAAACTTTAAAAATGAAAAGGCTTATTATTTTATGTATTATAAGCATCAGGTTCCTAGTAGTAAGTAGCTAGAACCTTATCTTTCTTTACAAAGGGAATATAATCAACAAAGCAACATCAATGTTTTAAATCCTGCTTGTAAAACTTAACTGGTGATGGTAATCAAAGAAATGCAATCACAGCAGCGGCACTGCTGGCACATTATCACTGCGAATGAAGTTGGTCGACTTCTGGAAAGTGACACTACAGCAGTACATGGCAAGAGCCACAATAAATATATCCTTTGACTAAAGAATTAGGACTTTATCCCAGTGGAATAATTCAAAGGAAAAAACATAAAGATATATGTATAAAGGTACTTACTAAAGCGTCTGAAATCCAGCCAAAAGAAATCCACCCAAAGCAATGCTTAAACTCATATAGCTACATAATAAAATAATCATGTAGCCATTTAAAAAGTTGCAAATAATATATAGAAACTAGAAATAAATTTTATGACAAATTAAAACATACAAAATAGGATAACTAAAATTGCTAGGTAAAATACATGCACACAGGATTCAAAGAACAAAAGTGAAAATATCTGAAATATAATAGCATTATGGGTTACTTATTTTTTTAAAAAAGTACCTTGGTGGGAATAATTTCTGAGAGAAAAGTGACATCATTTAGGCAGGACTCTCAAACTATACTTACATTTGGCTTAAAATTGGTAACAGTTTAGAAAGAGGGTGAGCCTAAATGGCTCTGCTGCTGCTTCGACTACTGGATGAAAAGCTCCCTTCTGGCTGGGGCTGCTCATGCACACCTGACTCCCCACAATGCCTCAGCAGTGCCTTGCACAGTGCAGAAGTTCAATAAACAGCTGCTGAACCACAGGTAGTACTCTAGGGAGTCTCTGGCAGGCTTAGGCAGGTAAGGAACAAAAAGGTAACAGGGAAAGAAGAAAGGAAGTCTGACAAAATTATAAAAAGGTCAGGAGAAACTGGGCTACTGCAGGGACTCCCTACCATTTTACCGAAGGTGGGCTACTTGCACGGGCTGCAACATGCAACTCAGAGGAAGCAGAAGACACATGTACCTTATAGTAAAGCATTTGGGTAAATCTCACCCTCGACTTTAGTCAAATCATTTTCTCTGTATGTATGTATATGATTCAGAAGTTTATACAAAATCAGGAAAAAAAAATACCACAACAAAATCACATGTGAGCTGAAGTGAAAAATAAAAAAGAAGTAATTTCTAAATCTTAACTACAGTAAAAAACCCCCTTTACTCTTCATGTTGCTTTCCAATGCTCCAGCCTTGTCCTTTAGGTACTTGTAAGTTACACATCAGTCACGCATGCCTACCTAGATCAAAAAGTTTGATGAACAGGAGGGAGGCAGCTCAGAATATTAAGGGAGTGTCTTAAAGCAGTTCATATTTGCTTAGAAGTCAGAACAGAAATGCATTCTTGAGAGAAGCTATCTACATTCTTTAGATGAAGATGAATTACGCATTCTCATAATTCAATATACAATCAAGAAATATCTGAGAATAGGCCATGAAATGCCATTTTCTGAGCCTCATGCAAATTGGAATCAAAGACAGCTTGATTTGAATGAAATCTTAAATTTTCGAAGGCACTGCAGAAATCACACATCCCTTCATGCTCAATTAGCATGAAGTTTTAACAAGTCAAATGACCTGCTGTAAAAATGTTTATCAGTTCTTAAAAAAAAACTTTTTTAAAGATTTTATTTTTTAGAGAAAGGGGATGGGAGGGAGAAAAGAAGGAAAGAAACACCAATGTGCAAGGGAAACACTAATTGGTTGCCTCTCAATCCCAGCTGGGGACCTGGCCCGCAACCCGGGCATATGCCCTAACTGGGAATCAAACCTTTGACCTTTCAGTTCACAGGCTGATTTCAATCCACTGAGCCACACCAGCCAGGGCAAAATGTCTATGAATTCTTAAAAACACCTCATATTCCTAAATACCCCCTCAAACAATACTTCTCAAAGTAGCCCTGGCTGGGGTGGCTCAGTGGATTGAGTGCCAGCCTGCAAAACAAAGGACCACGGGTTTGATTCCCAGTCAGGGCACATGTCTGGGTTGCAGGCCAGGTCCCCCATAGGGGGTGCTCAAGAGGCAATCACACATTGGCGTTTCCCTCTCTCCCTTCCCTCCCCTCTATCTAAAAATAAATAAAATCTTAAAAAACAAAACCCAAAACCCCACAGTTCTCAAAGTATAGTCAAGACACTTGGGTCTGAGACCCTTGCAGGGGGTTTTGTGAAGTCCTAATTACGTTCATAATAATACAAAGATACTACTTTCACTTTCCTCATTCTTTCCTCATTCTCATTCTCTGACAACAGTACAGTCAACTTTTTGAGAGGCTACGTGATGTGTGACAGCACAAAAGAATGAATGCAGAGGCAAGCATGAGAATCTAGCTTATCTTGATTAAATCTCCCACTGAAGAGATTTGTGAAAATATAATGCAAGGCCACTCTTCTCATCCCTCCCACTTTGGGGAAGATAGTTAAATGTTTTAATTATTTCACGGATTTATTTATTTTTAAAAAATAAATTGATTTTAGTTTTAACTCTTTGGGAATCTTTAATAGTCTCTTAAAGTGTCTAGACACCAAAAAGGTTGAGAACCTCAGTATCTAGCAAAAGTACCCATGAGTTTCCCAAATGGTAACTTCAGATAACTAAAATAAGTTGTAAGAAAGGCCAAGAAATATGTTTCTTTTGGGCACTCTTGATCAGAAAAAGTCCTACAAAGTTGAATGGTGATGAAAATACCCAATCTGAAAAAATCAGTTATACTTTTCAAACGAATTCAACCTCAATTTCACAAATATTCGTTGAATACCTAGGGGCTATATGCATAAGATATATTTAAGAGGAGAGGAGTTAAGGAGAGACGAAACTTGACCTCAAAAAACTCTTAATTTTATAAAGCAAGTATGCACCAGCTATTTGGTAGTAGTATATGAATGACTGATTTGATGTTCTAACAAAAAATAGTTTAAATTACTTAATCCACCAATTTGCATGTATTTAGCATAAAATAATTTAATCTTTTTTTGAGAGCTGACAGTCACTGTTAGAGTAGCAGTTGTGCTACCCAGTAGATTAAGTATTAAATATGGTGAAGAAACCTCTCTTCCCACCTCAGATACTGAAAATACAAGACTGCATGCCTTTAACTAGACAGGTATATGGTGGCTCCTTAACCCATCCTAGGACAAGCAGGTATGTTCTGTCTACACAGATGCTGTACTGAGGCTATAGTGCAGGTAGCTGTTTGATTTAGCTTTTTAATTTAGCTAATTTTATGCCATGTTCAGTGTCACTGGTGCCCTGACTTTCAGTCTGTGTCTGGAAGGAACGCCCCTTCCTGTTACATACGCATCAGTCGCAAGGCCACTACTTGCATCTCTCCTTTGTTCTTTGAACTTCTTTCAAAACACCCAGGAGAAAGTGTTTATAACATCACCTTTGGGCCCAACCTAATGCAGTATTAAAAAATACAATGGCTAGGGTAATGTTTCATAGGCTTACAGGGCTGTTAGGACTTTTTTAAATACGAAAAAAAACGTCTGAAGAGTTATAACATTTCGACAACTAATTACAATGCTGACAAGGTAGGAGAAAACTCCATCGTCACCTGATTCACAAAACTGTGGCTAATTTACTAAGCTATGAATTGTACCCACCTTCCTAGCTATCATAAACATCAATCCAGAAAAGATATGAAACTGTTTTAACTATTCTGTCCTTAAAGATGATCCAAATCCTTCACCAATCATCATCAAAATAAAAACCACATATTCTACATTCAATTTGCAACAACCCTGACATGTTTACTAAAATAAAAACCTCAAGTTTACAGTTTTATCAGCAAACTCACATTTTTCCTAGTAACTCTGCAGATTTTACAGCTGAGAAAACGACCAGTGTGTGGCCCAACTGGGGTCGAGTCCATGGGTTTTACTTGAAGTCCAGTGCTCTTTCCAGGAGAACAGAGTTGCCCAACCACACTGAAAGCTTTGACTCATAATTTTTCAAGGGAAAAGAAATTTACCTTCAACATTTTTTTATTTGCTGTGTTCTTGCCACATTCTCTCCTCAGCTGTTCACTCATCGCTTGTAGCTCCCTTCCAAAGTGAATCATTCTTTCTATGGCGGCCTGACTTCCTCCACACAGCTGGCGTCTTAACTGACTTGAATCAACTTCTGTAACCAAAACAAACAAGTATTTTACTACCTTACTGAATGGAGAGCAACAGAAAAATTAACATAAATTGCTTATAATATTTTGTATGTTTAATTTAATAACCGTTACCTAATATTTTTCTCTAAATATGCAGATTTATTTAATTTAATACGGAACTCTGCAGCTAAAAGGTATGCTTTAGCTAGGTCTCAAGAGTCTAGGATCCAATATCTAGCATGCAGCTGAAAGTCAGGTCAACCTTTCAGTGTTAGGATGTACCTATATGTCAGGGAAAATTTTATAAAAAGTTAAGCACAATTATCTAAAACTACATTAAGCCACATTAAGAAAAAAAGAATAAAAGTTAGTAACTGCCTTGCAGGCTACATTAACTGCCACAAACAGAGATAGAATTAAATGATTCCTGAAAGCTAAGAGAGGCTAAATAATTCCAGTAAAAACACAGAAGACACCATGTCATACTAATAAAAAAGGTTTAATTATACTACTTTTAGAAAAACAATTTTATAGTCTATATCTTGGTTGACAATCATCACTGATCAGTCATGTAACCATTTAAATTACTAATAATATATAATTAAAATGATGATGACAGTTAATAATTAATAGGCACTTCAAGCTATTAGCTTTTCAGAGATTGGTTCATTTAATCTTCACAATAACCCATGAGGCAGTTACTGCCCATTTTACATATGAAGAAACCAAGGCACAGAGCTCTTGAGTAACTTGTTCAAGGTTACCCAGTAAGTGGCAGTTACAGAATTTGAATCCAGGTAATCTGGTCTATACCTCCTGCTCTTAATCACTATGCTCAAATTACTCTTTGAATGTTGAGATTCAACAACACTGAATTGCTGATATCTGACAGAATAAAACTATGCTGCTTTTTCAATCATACTCATTCCTTGAAAAAATGAATTATACGTTAGAACACACAACCCTCAAGAACAAGGTGGTTGTACAAATAAAAACATAACTTTACATTTATAAAGTAGTTTCTTATACATACTCATAACAATTTGAAAAATACCTCTTAACCTGAAAATACTAAGAAATCTAATGTTGGCCACAGAATTGTGACAAAAAAGAATTTATACATAAGCTTCAATAATTTTCACTTTTCAATTGATGAGAAAGGTTGCTGATGGTTGAACTTCACAGTATAATACTGCACAAGTTGTCAACAAAGTAAAATTAAGCACGACATTTCATCTGGGGGTGGTTGCAGGGAGGGGTCATACTTAAGCACCTATTAAAGTGCCAGGTACTGAACTATGCGGTCACATATATTCACATTAAATGAATTTAAGATACTCTGTTTAGTTAGACTTTATAAAATCATCTCTACCCATCTGGCCTTTGCTGGCTATATTAAAATAAGCATGAACCCTTTTTATATTTCCAACCTCAAATACCCTAAGATAGTTAACACTAATAAGTTGGTTCTACTGCACTATGACAGCACAAAAATTGAGCCAAAACAGTTTAGCAAAGAAAACTCTCTAGCAATTCAGAGTATTGTAAAGTAACTACTCTGTCTAGCAACCCCCTCTCACAAGAGAGTTTAAGAGAAATAATATGCATTACTGTCAAATCCAATGGCACACACATATATATTTAAATCTGATTTATGCTCATCAGCTGTAAATCAGTACAAATAAAAACATAACCTTGTAGTCATCATTTTTTATTAAAAATGTAAGAAATATCACTGCAGACCCATTTCGGTGTCACAATCTTCCATTTCGTGGTCATGTTTAGAGCTACCATTTAGGAAACCATTGGATGAAGTTTCTCCAACTCCATTGGAGTAGTGATCTGTTTCCATGTCTACATCATTACTGAAAACGAAAAAACAAACCTAATTATAAAATTGCATACTTGTGCCTTAGTTTAAAATAAATTATTACTCAACTACATAGCCTACTTAATAAACTGATTTCATAAGGTGATAATAACCTGTAAAAAAATTTAGTTAAGTGTTGAATGTATTCAGAGCCAAATATGTGGCTGACTTTGAACAAAGTTTTACTCCTGGAGATAAGGCGGGAAGAAGTGCATGTACCAAAATGTCGTAGTTTCATGACTTTGTATCAATATGGAGAAATCATACTTCAGCACACACTTTCCACTATTTTCCAAACTCAGACCTGCCCCGCATTCTTAGTTAATCAACTCTTGCTCCAGAACCCCCATCCTTGCCCCAGCACTCACTTCTGGCACAGAAGGGGGGAACCTCACTCCCCGACTACTGCTGAAGCCCACCTCACCTCTTTCCTGCCCTCACGTTCAGCTCACTCCTAGACTACGTTTTCATTACTAGTCTTGCCATTTTGACATCGCCCTCACTACTTAAAAATATACCCTCTCTCAAAGGCAAATAATAATCATAAAAACCACTGAGTCTCATCCTCTTATACCTTGTTAACACCCACCATTATTTTACTCCCACAGGCTTTCTTATTGACTAAAAATTCCAAAGTATTGCCAAATATTCATTTTTAAAATGTTGATATGGATATTTAGGTACATTACTTCCAATTTCCACTCATTTTACACTTACTGAATAAATAAATATGTGCCAATAACTATATTTGGACATACTGACGTTGTCAATGCAGGACCTTCAGATCCATCCATACATTAAGCAACAACAAGTGAGTATCTAATCTTTAAGATTCTCCTGTGAAGAACTAGGTAAGGATTATACAGCCTAGAAGGAAGCACCTGATGAAAAATTTTAAAGTATTTAAATGAAAACGTCCGTTTCTCATTAAAAACGCAAGTATGTTCATTCTCAGAAAAAAGAAAACCACTGAATGCAGATGAACAAAACGCACTCTATGCATAACGCCACCAGAGGTGGTTAACCTCTCGAGTGAGGTTTTCTGTGCGTGGGTTTAAGGAACTGTGTGTGAGTGCACGGGTGCACGCACACTTCTATCGGTAAAACCTGTATGGTAAATACGAGAGAGAGAGAGAGAGAGAGAGATACAGGAAGAGGGGAACTCCTTGGAACTTCTTTGTCAGAAAAGCTGTGAACTTTGAGAATTGTTAAGAAAAATCAAACTAAAAATAATGTTTAACAGAAATTAAGATCATAGCTTTTAGTGATCCTAATAATATACTAAACCGTTTTTTAAAAAACACTTCAATACAATATTTGAGAGGGACTCTTTCATTCAATATACATTAAGAACCCCTGAGCAATGCTCCATGTTAGGTGCTAAAGACAGAATGAAACAGCCTCTGCCCTCTAGGAGCAAACAGCCTAGTAACAGCTAATCAAGTCATTATGTTACAAGGATTAGAACTATGATAAAAGTTAACCACAAGGAATGACACAACATTTGGTGGGGATGTAAATCAAGGCAAAAATCCTGGGAGAGGTAACATCTGAATTTGAGTTTTAACTAGAACAGAAGTTAGGACGGAGAAGAGGGAGGAGGGCAGGGAGAAAAGAATTTCAGATGGAGGGAAGTATAACGGAGAAACTCCAAGTCTAGAAGTCAGAAATTCTGGGAATTAATCTCAGTTCCACAAGTTAATGGCTACAAATTATTGACCTTAAAAAAAAAAACCCACATTTACTTTTCTGGTTTTCAGCTCTACATCTGTAAAGTAGTTTTAGCAGTTAATAGCACCTTTGCCTACTTCACAATACTGTTGTAAAGAAAGTCAGTACCAACTATAAAATAACTTACTGTTTAAGAGGTTAAGGAAACTTTAACACTTCCTCACCTCTCTGACACTGAAGACAAAGGAGAACGCTGTGCCGTCAACGCCTTGTGTAACGTTTCCTACCCTGAACCAGGTAATAATAGGTCCCTTTAGCAATTTCCTCACATTAGGAAGTTGCTAAAGGGACCTATTATTAGTATTTAAGAGAAAAACTCACAAAATGATTGCAATCATACCCTCAAAAAAATGGCAGAACCTCCTTACCAAAGATAAAGTACTAAAGGCTTAAATTTCAAAACTCTCAGTTTTTACTGCAATTTTCTACTTTTAAATTTTCTATATGTCATCTCTACAGCCAAAGACTACCCTCCTCAGCAAAAGACAATCACTTTCTCCACAGTTCTCACCCCACTGCTGCTGACTTACATCCTAACCTGCACCACACAACCCCGTGCCTTCAGTAAATGTTTGACACTTGTGACAGAACACCTGGAGATGCTGATAAATCTCCAAATCTGTAAATACATATTTTAAAATATACTCCTTTTTCTGGAGCCATATTTCCATTAAGATTCCATGATAAAAGTTAGGTTCTCTCTCTTTTGATGAAAAATTCTGCACTGATGAACATTCTCCCAAAATGGAGTATGACCAATCAGTTCATGTTATAAGACCAAACTAATATCAAATTGATAAAATCTATCCATTATTTTTATGAAAAAGATGTCATACCACCAGTCCTAAACCAAACTGAGATTCAAATGCTAGATAATTTGAGAAGGCTGAATTCATAAACTTGCTTTCACATACAGTATTCACATGATTACATTGCAGGAGCCTTTAAAAGGTTTCATGAACATTAAACCCAAGTATGTCACAGCGTATCATCATCTCTTCTCCCAAGGCTCTCTAAAGTCAGAAGAGACACTCCTCCTGCCAGGCAGAACCACTGCCATCCAGCAGGTCCTTAACACTACCTTCATGCCTCAATGTTTACTAAACGACTCAGTCACATCTGCTGTACTAAAGCTACTCGATGATAGGTTCTCAAATAAGAGTCTTTGTAAAATTAGTTACTTGAAGTCAGGAAATATTTCACAATACATTTGCACCAAAAAAAACCACACATAGAAAAAAATAGTTGTAAATGTATTGCAATAAAACTACAGGTTAAATATACAATATTGTGACTTAACTTGGACAAAACAAATGGCATTTATGTGATCATCTGTGTAGGTCTGTGGGCAGGAGGCCTAGACTGCAGAGCAACGGGCTTGTCCCTGCAACCCCACTTCAAGGGCAGCGGCAATGGAGAGCAAGAAGGAACAAAGGAAGGAGGGAGCCCATGTGCTTACTGACAGACTGAAAACTCTGAGGAACTCAGTCCCTACTCTTTCATTCTCTGGGGACTTGGGAATTCCCAGACCTCCACTACGGGCCACATAATCCAACTTTCCCAAATTATTAAAAATGATAACACCTGTGATTAGGTTGCTTATAGTAATGCAAAAGTTAGAGAAATCACTTACCTGGTGAAGTTATTAACTTGCTGTGATCTTGACATGTTTATACTGTTCAGTTCTGGTACATTCAAATTAGATGACTGGTGTTTACTATGGCAATATGATTGATGTGCTTTATTTGATATTATACCATTACTACAACTTTCAAAACCTGGGAGAAAAAAGAAAAAGATAGGTTATGGAAATAGAAACAAACATTAATTTATTATTAGGTTGTAACTAATGTACCCATATTCTGATTTTTGTATTATTAGGTTATAAATAATGTACCCATATTCTGATTTTTGTAAAATATAGGAGAGTTGGTAGACTATTTAAGTAATAAATAACTAACTTCTCTGAAAGGATATAAATATAAAATTATCATCTAACAATTACTGAAGGCTTCATTACGGATCTTCCTTATCCTCACCTCCGCCCCTCTGAGGGCAGTGTTACCATCACCCCGGAAGTGACTGTATGATATTCAGGAGGTGTAGTGGCTAAGAAGACAAACATGAGAATCATCTGCGCTGCACAGAGTGGTATATAAAAAGAGGTATTAATGTAGGAAGGTATACGGTGACTAAGAAAAAGCAAAGGTGTTACTGCTTGAAAGGAAAGGAAACAGCATTAGATTCTGTTTTAGAAAGTTAAATGTAAAAGATAACACCTTGGGAAAAACAGAATGAAAGAGACAAAGAAAAAAAGAAGACTAAAAAGGATTAGAAATAAAATTGTAGAAGTGATCATGAAAGCAAAGAAAGGAGAGAATTCTAAGTAAGAGAACACAAACGCCTTGGAGAGCAGGGCTGGTGAGCCAACAAAGGGACAGGAGACAATTCGCGGGGCAGAGCAAACTCTGGCAGGAAGCTTGGTTGAGGAAGAATGAGATAAAAAGCACAGATCAATGCCCCCATCACCTCCTTTAAATTTATTTATACTTTATTAAAATACACGACCTTTTCATTACCTTTTCACTACCAAGCATCTATGATTTAATTTCTAGGGGGAACTCATATGTTGGCTTTTGTTTATGAAGATCTGCTATAACAACCTATTTTCAGAAAGAGCTCTTCAAATTACTTTCTGATAATACAAACACATGCATCTGATCCACCTACAATTTTTCTCCTAGAACATCCTGTGATTAAATATACACATGTGCAAAACTGCTACACAAAAATGTCTAGATTTTTAAACATTTTATTTTGGTTTGAAAATATAAGAAAGGAAAAAATATAAAGTTAATATCATAAGACTGAATCTCACCAGAAAAATGTGCAGTACTCCCTTTGCCAGATGCTAAATTGTGGATATTCATTCCATGGCTGGGGCTCATACTTGGACTACTAAAAGGTCGAGGACTAACAGGATAACTGTCTTGAGATTTTGGACTTCGGCCTCCCAAACATCGTACTTCACTATCTGTACCATTCACCATTTCTATAAACTGACGCACTCTAAAAAAATGGAAAGAAATTTACTTAGATAATCTTCAAATAGCCATTTATTTAATCGCAACAAATTTCTTTAAAAAGATATTTTAAGAGCTTGTGTATATCAATAACTTTGGCCTTTAGATAGTATTCTAAAAATACTAAATATGGTTTCATATACTATATTGCTTAAAATATAAAATGAGACTATAATGCAAAAGATACTATATCCCCTTTAGTCCAGATTTACTAAGAAAATGAAAATCTATCTGTAGCTATAATAAACAAAATCAAAATGGACTCCTATTTTAAGCCCCAAAATAATTTAAACGAATAGTTGCACTTGGTAAAAACAAACAAACAAACAAATAGTATATTAGAACATGATGGGATTCTAACAAATATTTCTACATCCCTATTCACAGAGCATTGTTTACAGTATCTAATAGTGGAAGAAGCTCAAATATGTGTCAGTGCATGAGGGAATAACCAAAATGTGGTGTATATACAATAGAATATCATTTAACCTTCAAAAGAAAGGAAATTTTGTGCTACAACACAGATGAAGTTTGAGGACATTATGCTGTAAGGTAAATAAGCCAGTTACAAAGGACAACTATTTCATGATTCCACTTATATAAGGTACCCAGAGTAGTCAAATTGAAATTCACGGAGACAGAAAGTAGAATGGTGGCTGCCATGAGCTGGGGGTGGGGTGGGCGGCAAAGAAATGGGCAGTTGGTGTGAAATGAGGACCAAGTTTTTAGTCTGGGAAGATGAAAAAGGCCCTGGACATGGATGGCTGACGACGGTTACAAAGCAATGACAATGTACTTAATACTACTGAACTGTGCATGTACAAACGGCAAATTTTATGGTATGTATACTTAAAAATTTTAAAACGCCACAGGCTTACTATAAGGTCATTACTACATGGTACTTTACAAAAGGAAAAACAGATTCTCATCTCCTAAATAAGATTTCCACATATGGAAACAGAGACCGAATGACCGAACAATAAACACAGAGCAAACGATGCCATCTGTTTATACTCCTCAACACAAGTGCTTCCTATAATCTTTTACTTAAAAGTGTTATATTACAAAATTTTCTGTCCACATTTGAAAGAAGTTAAAACAAAAAGTAAAACATGGAAATGAGTTTGATTACAAATAACACACATATATAATACATATAACATGTTTATTCAAGAAACTCACTTTAATGTGAAAAGAAGATTAGGATTTCTTTCAAGTAAACTTGGGTACAACTGTTGTGTTGTTTCAATGGCTTCTCCCATTCTTCCTGCTAATACCAATTTCTGAATTCCTATTTATAAAAAGAGTAAAAAGTAATGTTTTAAAGTAGAAACAAAGTAGAAGCAAACACATATAGTAGACTCAACAAAAAAAAGAGTTAGTAAAACATTTTAAAATAAGTTACTGTAATTAATTTTCATTTCTTTTTCTAAAATCATGGTTTCAAAGAAAAGTTTTCAGACAAATTTAAAAAACAAGTACTTTCATAAACCATTTTTTAAAACCACAAACTATCATACAAGTAATATAGGAAGAATACCTACTAAGCAGTACTGAAGTAAGAAACAGGTTAAAAAGATGGCTACATTTATGGCATACATGGTACTTATGGTTTGTTTCATGGATAAATACTAATCTCTTAATTCATTGAATTACATTCACTAAATATGTACAGATCTTAATATGTCAACTATATGTCAATAGAGTGGTTATAAAAAGACCATAGGAAACATTAAAGAAATAATATTCAAAATGTCTTATCAAATATGAGACATTTGGAACCCAGTACTTAAAGAATGCTAAACTTTGAGTAAGATCTGAATTCAACAGACACTCAGTGAACATTTCTTGTGTCACATATGTGTTAAATTAGATGGGGATACAAAGAATAAGTGATCACCTCCTGTTCACCAGAGCGTATATAGTGAGACAAAGTGTACAATAGCCACAGCACAATGTAGTCAGGGCTATTATAGCCATTTGACCTATAAAAAAATTTTGTTTTGATCCATCATGATCTTGCCCATCAAGTTGTTTTTATGCCTATGTTCTCACCAAGTTCTACTCTCCCTGATGAATAACTGTACCAATTTTAAGATGGCTAACTATGAAACAAGTTATCGTGCTGACCTGCCCTTGTAAGAACCGGCCCTATTGCTTTGACCACAAGCACTACAGAAACTAAGCAATAAATACTTAAGATCAAAACTATCTTAAATTCAGATAGCTATTTAAATGGCAAAGGTATTTATATTTTTCTATATTATACCTCCACTAACATTCAGTTATGGAACTACTTTAATAATAAATTTAAAGAAACCATTTTATTAAATGTTTATTTCCTGAAAGCTTAATAAAAAAATTTTGAAGAAAAAAATGGTAAGCATTCTTATAAAAAAAATACTCCAAAGTTATATCTTTCTACAACCAGGATGCTAACAAAGTCCTATGCTATTCATTCATTCATTCATTCATTCATTCATTCATTCATTCATTACACTTATGTAACATTGATGTAGGAGAGAAACATTGACCGGTTGCTTCCCGTATGAGCCCTGACTGGGAGTCGGAACCACAATCCAGGCATGGGCCCCAACCAGCAATAGAACCCACCACCTTTTGGTGAATGGAATGATGCTCCAACCAACAGAGCCATCTGGCCAAGGCCTATGTAAAGTTTTTAAAGGTAATCTTCAAAACTGTCAATGAAAACAAATTGCAGCAGCATCAATTTTAAAATTTATTTTAAAAAATTTTAATTTGAAAATAAAATTTCTAAAAATGCTATAACCCAACTATAACCTGAAAACAAGTATTAGCCATGCACCATAGGGCCCTTACTTTGTCTATTCTTAATGGAAGCCAACTCTTCTAGAACGGTCTGGTCTGTAGATCTGGCAAAGGCCTCTGCTGTGGCACAGTACCCATGATGGACTAAGTAAGATGAAACCATTCTTAAAATAAAAAGAAGAAACACAACTTTTAGTCAAGACAATATACGCTTCATACTGCGATTTATATACACAAGGTCTACTTCAGTGTTACAAAACCAACCTATTTCCTTGAAACAATTAAGGCTTCAATAACCTCAAGTTCAAAGTTCAAAAGATCACTTTGTTTTTTCATGTGGTTATTTCTGAAAAGATAACTGAAAATGCTATGTTGAGACTACTGTCCCCAATCAAGGACATCCCTGCTCTCTCCAGGTCCTTCCCTATCATTTCCTATCCTTACAGACAATCCTACTAGCCATAATTTCTGTTTCACGTTTATCATGACTCATCCCAGTTAAGTGCTATCATTTTATAAAATAAATGTGAAATAACAGAAGAATTCCTTGTATTACAGGGTTCAGCCCCATTCTTTATTTATCAGTTACATTACCTGGAATCACAAGATGTGAACACAAGAAATAACCAAGGTGAACCTGGAGAGAGAATCTTCCAGAAGAAAGTCTATGAGGGTGACAATACTAATCAATGAGAAGTTGGCCTTCTGATGGAAATCAATTAGTATGGCTGGGCACAGTAGATTAATTACTCAAATATGATTTATATGTAAGTGACAGACTTCCAAAGCAACTTATTTCTTAAAAAGCCACTAAGTGGCCAAGACACATACTTAAATCTAACCACAAAATGTTAGAAAAACTGCTGATTAAGCAATATTAACCCAGACAGCCAATATATCCAAATACTCAACTCTTAAACCTGTCTCCATCTGGCACTGCTGAGGACTTGCTGGAAAACTGTAGAAAGCAGTGGTTCTGGAAAGGGAATTGAAGTGGGGAGGGGAATCTCTAAGAAATAGATTTTTCATTTTATTTCATCTAACTGTCCAAATTAATTTAAGAAGTAGGGAGAACATTTAAAAATAAACCTTCTAGAAGGTCAGAGTGTCAATTTTATGAAGAATGAGGTTGGGGTCAGGGCCCTCACTGAACTCTGGCTACAGGATACAATATTTCCTCTCCTACTATTCTGCCATGATGCTCTGTGGCAACAATTTTTAAAATATTAAAGGGATGGACCCAAGAAGAGCAACTTATCTGAGCTTTAATTCATGGCAACTGTGGGATTCTTAGCCAGGGTTCACTATTCTTTCAAGTGCAGGACTAAAATATTCGTGTAGACTCTACTACCTGATGATAATAGCTATAGAGAAGGAGCATGTTTTTAGAATCATAAGCATATCTTCCAATCATTATCTCCCCCAAAAAGTACATGCAGAAAGCTTTATTAGATTTGTAAATTTCAGACTGTTCAGAGCAATTATAGACATTTAAGATGAACTGTGTCAGATTCATGGTATCTGAAAGCCTCTGTTATTTTCTTGGGTTAGATTACAGTAGTGAAAATGATTATTTAAACTTACAGGTACTCAGTTAATTTTTAAGTCTCTAGTCTTTCAAGCTTTAAGAGCTACCATTTAGTACCACTAACATTCAGGTGCCATCTTAGGTAATGGTCATAGGAATTATATTTTCCTGCTGACATCCATAATGATATTATTCTACTTTTTCAAAAAATGCTCCTTAATAAAATAGATTTAATTTTTTGGTAAAAAATGAGTTGAGACAAAGTACTGTATATTTCATCATACAGTACTTCTATTGACACCCACTGGGTGCTCTGCTGCTGCCCACCCTCCACCACTGTTGCTACTGGAGGAGTCCTAACTCCATGTTCACTGTTCCTTGGCTTCATCTCCTTTGCCTCTTCTTAAATGGCTAATAATAGCACATAAGTAAATGGCATTAGAAATAACTAGTAAATTTCTTATACCAGAGGTTTTTGGTTAGATTTTCCTATTTAGAATAAAGAGCAATTATAACATTCATAAAACTACAGGACAAGTACTAAATATTTAGCAAAAAAGGGATCCCAGTAAACAAAAATAGCTAACATTCTTACAGAGTAATCCATTCACTAGAAACATTTAGCCAAATCCTTAAAAGTATAATGTACATATTACATCTGTCTTCCAGACATATATAGAATATAAACTATATATAAATATAGGTTGTTTACTTACTATATATAAACTATATAAATATGTAAACTATATAAATATATATTTGTATATAAAATAAATAAAAGAATATGTTCCAGACTTATATATAGAATATAAACTATACCATTATTCTGATGCTTATTCTTCCTGATAGTTCTTTTCCCCATAAATATTTGAACTACTGCTGAACAACACAGTTATGTGCATGTCCAAAAACATGATCTTAAATTATACAATCTAAATTACCTTTCTAAATTTATCTTTTGCATTGGTACTATTAAAAGATGAATCATATAACCTATGGAAATCATTAAATGCCATTACTAACCAGAGAAAAGGAATTACCCTAACTTAAGCAATCTAGTGTTACTTTATTTCTTTCATCCAATTTATAAGTCAGACTAATATATTATTCTGTATGTTTCCATCAAACATTCTTTTTAATTGTTTAAATAGTGAATTACTTTTTACAGAGATTAAAATATAATCAATATGTAAATTACTAGGCTATAAATGAGTAAATTAAAAAGCTCAACAAATATTCTCTTGAATGGAAGAATAAAATGTTTTATTCAACATTTATTCAAATGTTGTATTCAAAAAAAGTACTTTTGAATATGTCCATTCAAACTGCCTTGTTTGCTCTTTAAAAAAAATTTTTTTATCTTCACCTGAGGACATTTTTTCATTGCTTTTAGAAAGAGAAAGAAAGGGGGGAGGAGAGAGTGAGCACTATAGAGCGAAACATTGATTGTCTTCTTGTATACACCCCGACTAAGGATCAAACCCACAACCCAGGTATATGCCTTGACCAGGAATCAAACCCACGACCTTTTGGTCCCCAGCATGACACTCCAAACAACTGAGCCACACTGGCCAGGCTCACTTACTTTTGTATCATGGTCTGCCACTCTCCTTCTCGATCTCCAATAGGAAACCGGTCTATCTGTGCCTGTATTTTGGTTCTCCACTCCCGCATGTAGTCTTCTATATCAAACACAAAAGGATGCTGCCCAAAATTGGCATCAACGACCTCTCCTGGTGTCTGGAGCCCAACAGTGGGATATAAGTTTGGCTGTAAAACAACACATTTCACTAAGCATCTATCCCTTTTATGTTAAAGGCATTCGTTCTTTCAAATGTTATCTCTTTAAAATGACAAAACAATAAATTTACTTCATAAACATTTTAAAATCTCAATCCAAAATTACAGTAAGACTAAAGCAAATATTCTAATACAATAAAATGAAAAATAACATTTCCTGTAATGTAATAAAGAAAAATATGAAAAAACTGCAATACCCATTTTATTTATTCAGAGACTACATGAAAATAAGACTTTTAGTAAATGAAGACATAATCCTTGCTCTTAAGAATGTTGTATATTAGCTACAGAGATTCAAGTATAAACATGTAACTCAGGTTTATCCTTTTATATGATACATGTAATGCACTTCTAGAAACCTCACGTGAAAGCTAGTTACCACAGAAACAATCCTAACTGGGCAGGTACTATTTTAAGTTTACTAATTTCACTTATCTATATACTTGGGATGCCTCTGTAAAGAGACGATGATAATTATGAGCAAAACAGTGCCATTAAGAGTAGGGATTCTCTATATAAAAATAAAAGATATGAATGGATATATTTCTTTTCAAGAAAAAGGATGAATTTTAAATTTCAAATTTATAAAGAAATGAACAAATAGGAAGGACACAGGGACGAGAACTAAGGGGGGTGGAAATGGGAGGGAGGTGGGGAGCAAGGGGCGGGGGAGGCTGGGATGGGAAAAACAGACAAAAAACTGTACTTGAAAAATAACTAAATAAAATTAAAAAATAAAAAAAATAATTAAAAAAAATAAAAATTAAAAAAAAAAAAAGAAATGCATTTAGATATACTCCAAGATTTTGAGGCTAAACAATCAATTTAATAGCTTCAGGTAAACAAAAAATACCAAAGTCCTTCTTTGTGCTCTATCACTAGTTGTTATACCTAAAGGGAGAAAGAGTTACTGAATGGCAGTGTTAAATCATTATGTAATCCAGGGAAGTAATTATTATTATTTGCATTACAAAAATATGGAAACTGAGGGTCAGGGGCAAATTAACTTGCTCATGGTCTTTCTACTCTATGGCAGAGGTGGGACTGGAACAGGTTTATTGGACACCAAATCTACATTCAATTTTTCTTCCTAGAAATCCAAATCCTACTTCATCTTCATCCTCTGTATTTATGCCTTACTTCTTCACTTTAATGGTTATCACAAATGGTTTCAGTATAAAATTTGGTAAAAATGACAATTATGTATAAGATGCTTAAACAGATTTCAAGCAAAAAAGGAGAGTGTGTTTAAAAACAACTGATCAAACAAGCAACTACGATCAGAAACAAAAGCAATACTGTGTTAAACTACTGAGAAACAGAGTTGTACCAGATGAGGGCAAAAATGGTAATGCAATGTACACAAATGTACTAATTTTTAAAAATCAACAAAATGGGCAAATTAATAGAATTTTAAGTCAAAACAAGTGAAATACTTATTGCAACCATCTCATTTCGCCAATGAAAAAACAGACCTAAAGAGTTCAAGGAATTTATCTAAAAGTATGCTTATTAATGATACACATAAAGGGAAAAACAGCTGTCATTCACTGCACACAGAAATGTAAACCAACAGAATCTTATCAAGACAAATTATGGCAAAAAAAATATTAAACTGACCAAGTAATTTCATTTGTAAGAATCCTATAGAAAAAATATGCAAAGATATACGAGGCCTGTCCAGAAAAAGTCCACACCTTGCTGATATAATGAGAATGATTTGTGCAACATTGATGCAACCTGGTAGCCAAGTAGAGTGGACTGGAATGCGCATGTGGAAACTATGACGACTTCACTGTACCAGTCAGTGAGGGTGGTAGACGCCATTGAGTGAGCATGTGTACTGTGTGGCCATCACATTCAAATGACTGAGTGAATAGAGGAATGAATCTGCATCAAATTTTGTGTTAAGCATGAACATTCATCCACGGCAACTATTAGGATGAGTCAGAAGGCTGCAGCTATGGGCAGCTGATGATTGGCAGCTTCATCATGACAACATACCCCCTTGGGCATCATGTCTCCTGTAGAGGTTTCTGGAGAAACATTATATCACCCCCCTGGGTGATTAAGCCCCCACTACAGTCCAGATTGGGTGCCCTGTGACTTCTGGCCTTTCCCAAAACTAAAATAACCTTTGAAAGGGAAGAGATTTCAGACTATGGATGAGATTCAGGAAAATACAATGGGACAGCTGATGGTGATTGGGAGAACTGTGTGAGGTCCCCAGGTGCCTATTTAGAAGGGGACTGAGGCATCATTGTCCTATGTACAGTTTCTTGTATCTTCTTCATTAAGCATCTCTATTTTTCATAGTACATGGCTGTATACCTTCTGGACAGACCTTGCACTCCTACAAATTTGCAACTTGTAATTGCAAGTAAAAAATATGTCCATTTACAAGTGGAATTATATACCACATTCATCAAAGCTCAGACTCCAAAAATTTTAAGATGTCATCATTTTACATTTAAGAAAAATCACTGCCCATTAAACTCTCACAGACTGTAGATTCTAAGACATATCCCCATTTCAAATACATTAAATTATAAAAATAAGCAAAAATGTGTATAGTGACAAAGATGCCCAATATATATCACTAAATGAAGAGAACGAGTTATAGAAAACTGCATAAACTATCTTCCCACCTTTTCTGTAAAGATTTACATAAGGAACATACTGGTGATTCCATTTCCAGGAATTTATCTGAAGAAACCCAAAACACTAATTCAAAAGAATATAGGTAAACGTTTTTATTCCATAAATAGACCCTCTACCAGCATTTAACGCTACAATAAAGAGTAATATCACAGGTACAAAACACATATAAATATTTGTTTGGTGGTCCCTTTAAGGGAAAGACTTTTTCCTTCCTTTTTAAGTAGGAGAATTATAGGCTGCATATGGAAGTCCCAGAAGATCTCAGTCATAAAAATAAAGAACTTTCTGAACCACAATCACCATAACCACCACTCAACACACTGTTACAGAAACAAATATCACCACTGGTTAATTATAGAAAAATCAAAACATAACTTGCTATTCTAATCCAGGACAAAAAATAGTTAGAAAGTAGTAAAAATAGTCAACATGTCCACAACCAGCTAAGCCTTTTCCAAGGAAATTATCACCACGATCTACCAACGAGGAATAAAAACAAACAAACAAAAAATCCGCTCACTCTGACAAGTTAATTTACTTGCTTAGTGCTACAAAAAGAGAAAACAGCCCTGGCTGGTGTAGCTCAGTGGATTGAGCATGGGCTGTGAACCAAAGGGTTGCTGGTTCAATTCCCAGTCGGGGCACATGCCTGGGTTATGGGCTGGGTCCCCGGTGGGGGCCACATGAGAGGCAACCACACACTGATGTTTCTCTAACTCTCTTTCTCCTTCCCCTTTTTCTAAAAAAGTAAATAAAATCTTCAAAGAAAACAAAGAAACAAACAAAAATAGCCACTAAGCCCTTCAACCAATTCCAATTGAAACTTGGTCTTAACAAAACCTCTGCATTGGTTCCAAACCATACCAACCCACCCACCGCCACCTACACCTGTACTCCCCTCCGCCTCCCCACCCCCCACAGACGCTCTTCTCTGATGCCTACCCCTTCCACCTATACGTATGATAATAGCCAACTTTCTACACAAGGGTTTGATCACTGTTACTTTCCTTCTCTCTATATTATATCACCTTTTGCTTGGTAGTGAATCATTCTCATCAGCAAACATTCTGCTAAACCTAACAAAAAAATCTTCTATTGCCCCTACTTCCACCAACCAGCTCTTCATCCCATTTTTCTATTCCCTACGTGGCCAAAACCCTCCAAAGTTGTCCATACCCCATCACCTCCCTCTTCTCCTCTTCTCTCTTTTCAGTCAGACTCTCTCCAGCATTCTTCTTAAATTTTCTTGAAAAGGCCATCAGTGACCTCCACTCTGCTAAACCCACTGGTCAATTTGTGGTGTTTCACACTGGCATCTGACACCACTGGTGACTCCTTTCTTGATGTACTTCAACACTGTTTTTACTTTGCTTTGATGACACCCAATTCTTAGTTTCCCTTCTGCCTCAGTGGCTGCTCCTTCTCAATTTCTCCCTGCAGGTTTCTTCTCTTCTCCCACATACGGCACGCCCCAGAATGCAGTCCTCGGGCCTTGGACTGCTTGGTCCAACCAGTCTCATGACTTTATATTTAAACACCAAAATGCCAATTACTCACAAATCACTTTTGAAGTCTGGGGCTGTATATCCAACTGCATACCCGACAACTCCACTTAATGTATCCAAAATTAAACTCTAAACCTCCTCCCTCTAGCTACACCCTTCTCTGCATTAAACATGGCCTTTCCACTCATCCATTTTCTCAGGCCTGATATCTTGACGTCAGATCCTCTTTCTCACCTTTTTGCATCTAATTTATCAGAAAATTTTCTTGGCTTTCAGTTAAATTAAAAATATATATGTATATATATATCTTAATTATTTATTTTAATCCATCTGAAACTTTCTGTAGTATAAATATAAATCAAAATCCTGAGATTTATATTTTTCAAACAAAAGAACACAAAACAAAAACCACTTGTTCCATCTCCACTTAAAAAATAATGCTTCTTGGCGAGCATTTTTGATTTGTAGACCCTGAATTTTCTATGGCTTAGCAAAGCAAAACTTTGGTATATTCTGTTTTTCTAGGATTTTCTTCAGGAATACTAATAATCTGTAGTCTATTCTCGCCTCTGAATTTCCTGTCATTTCAAAACAACATCTCTGAAACTGGAATGTGTCTTATAATAGATGGCATCTCACATCTGGCCAGGCGGCTGTCATGACACAGCTGTTACTGCTGCACAGGTATGAATTTGTTCAAGGATGAGCTTACTAAAAACTCTGGGATTTGATTATTTTTTCTGGCGAAACAGCTGGATAACTGTAACCCCGAAGACATTTTAGTCAATAGGCCAACTGAGAAAGGAACCCCAGAGTCCTGTTATTGTCAAAAAACCTTTGGTTAATACTTTCTGGAAATATTAAGAAAGTGACAGCATCAAAACCTGCACAATGCCATCGGGAGCTTGGGGGAAAATGCCAGAGACATACTGGAGAACTCTTAAGAAATGTTCTTGATGGCACAGGAGATAATGTCATGTGGAACACCACAGACATGAACTCTACACAAGTAGTTTAAAAAGTTGGATTCAACCTGAAGAAGTGCGGGGGGGAAGACTTTAATCAATTTATATTGCTATGTCATCATTTTTAGGAATGCAGTAAGTGATACTGATTAAAATCTATTAAATACTTTCAAAGATTGTTGGGTAAATGTAAAATACAAATTCTAAGTGATAAGAAAACACTGCATCACAGTTTGTAGTTTTTGCCCCTAGTGTTACATGGGATGCATATGACACTGCACAGAGCCTCAGATCTGGTAAACAAGGTGTCTATAGTCTCACCACTTCGCCCATCGCTAGTGATGGGAGTCACCATCATCTGCTGCCTCAATTTCTGTCCCCACTTGGGTCTGTTTGAGCATAACCTTATGCTCTACCTGCCATCTATTTTTAAAGCCTGCAGTCAGCGCTCCCTTACAAACTGAAGCTGTATCAGAAGAACTAGAGTCTGCAATGCCTTTGTATCTCACTCAGAGTAAACGCCGAAGTCCTTACAACGACCCTCAGGATCTGGATGATCTACCCAACCCCCACCATCGTTACCTCTGACTTACCTCCTCCCACAGTCTTTCTACTTCACTTCACGCTCTTCTTCAAACAGGCCACACATGCTCCTGATTTAGTACACACGTTCCTCTGACTGTTCCCTCTGTCTGGAACATTCTTCATTTATATCTCCATTTAGTTAACTCCCTCACTTCGTCAAAAGTCTCTGCTCAAGTCTTAGCTTGAAGCAAAGGTGAGAAATTGTACATCCCATGTTCTGTGTTTCGTACTCCCATTCTGTTTTGTTTTTTCCTTCTTTGAAAAGTACTTAAAAACCTTTTTAAAATGCCATGATTTACTTATTTGTGATGTACTGTTCATTCTCACTCCCCCAGCTTGAATATCTCAAAAGGACAGATAACTTTACCTTACCTGTTTTCTTCAATGACATGTAGCCAAGCACAGAACCTGCCATACGGTATGCATACAATATCTACTGAATTAATAAATGACTAGAACTGCTTTATAGTCATTTGCTGAAAAGTCCAATACCAAAAATAATTCAAATAAATGCAGGGTGACATTAAAAAGTATATTTTAATAATCATTTCTGATTTTTTAAAGCTATAACAAAGTTTCCTTCTACAAGGTGTCCAGTGCAATTTGAAGTTTAATTGCTGAAGGTCAACACCAACTAGAGAATGACTTCTATTCAACACATGGCATATAAACTGAATGTAAGAATGTCTTCTAAACGTGCTCAGCATTAGTTTCTTTATATAACTTGTTTAATGAAAAATGCAAAAATGCTTTAAAAAAAGTTATGTCTTACCGGTAGGTCAGTGAAGGCAATACCTTAAAAAAAAAGAGAGAGAAAAGGTGGCATTAGAAGCTGGTTTTCAAAGGCACACTATGGTACCAAATTAAATTTCTAACTAAAACAAACAAAAAAAAAAGAAAGAAAAAACTGAATACCTAAATATAAAACGATGAGAATAATTTTTTCCTCAATAACACTAACAGATCTGAGTGAATGCTAAGCCCTTTTTCAGTACCATCATCCTTATTAGTCAGACACCAATTTTATTTTTGTCAAACTGCTATTGACCCAAGAATTTTAAAATGATTTTTAGATATATCTTCAAAGCTATATATATACTAGAAATCATATAAGCAAATTGGTTGCAAAATAGTCACATCTGAATTTTGACCAATACCCCAAGTGCTTCATCCAGCCTTATCTTTTAATCTTCCTCATTCGATTTAGCTGTTAAATAATTTTGAGCAAAGGTAAATATAATAAAAAAGTTAAACAATGAAAAACGCAGTATTTTGTTTCTTTAAAAAAATAAAATCTCTTACAAAAGTGCATTCTTGAATAACCTTTGACTATTCTGGGAAACAATTCCTTTTTCAATGGATAAAGATTTATACAGTGAGAATTTCTCTTGAATGTCCTGACAGCAATTTCAATGCAGTCATGTTCCAAATACACTTGAACAAGGTTAGTATCATTGGCATAAGTTACTGCCATCCCAAAGTGATGACTTAAGAATCTCTCTTCAAAAGTTAAAATATGATTTACAGGAACTAGTATAAAGGACACATGGACAACAACTAAGGGGGGTGGAAATGGGAGGGAGGTGGGGGGCACGGGGGGGGGGTTGGGAGTAAAAGACAGAAAACTGTAATTGAAAACATATTTTAAAAAATAATAAACCATTAAAAAAATTAAAATATATTACTTAGCTGAAGATAATAAAACTGTATGTTCCCACAGAACTTCACTCGTATATTTAAAAAGACTGACTTCTGGGAGGGATGATGTTGGTGAGCTGGTTAATCTCAACTCTTCCAGTCAGTCTAAACGCCCACCCGCTGTGCCATGCTAATCACCATCTAAAAGGTGAGGGTATTTCCATTCAATTATCTGCAGGTCTCTTCCCACTTGACATTCTATGACTCTGTAATTGTGTGGCACCATCAGTAAACTATTTATTAAAGCGCTAAAATTAAAAGACGAACCGACTATATATCTTTACTATATGTTTTTAAATAAATGTGTAAAAATAGTGCATTGTAGGTTAAAGTCCTTTCAAAAACTAGTGAATTAACATTGGCTTGTCAGAAGGAAAGGAAAGCTGGGGGTCCTCCCCAGACCGCCCCAGGAAAATACTGATTACTTTTAGCTTCATTAGCAAATAGAAAGCAAAGTGACTGTGGGCCAAATACAAAAATTTGCTCTAAAAATTTCAGAACACTTTTACAAAAAGCATTAAAGAATAAATATTTTAATAAAAATTTACATCTTTGCCATTTTTCATAAAGTAGCAGCTTAATCTTTTTCTCAAAGATGTCCATATAAAACACAACTGCCTAAATTTATATTGTTTCAGTAAAAAATTCTTTTGCCATTAATTACTTAAATCTTCACTCTTAACTAACAACTGTAATCAAAGTGTCAACTTAATTTCATAGATTAACACTTTTGATCACTGCCAAATATAGCTACCCCAGCCTATACACAGTTAAACCACAAAAAGATGCCAGTTTAACAATTTGGTATAATTACCTCAATACAAAGAAAGCAAGCTTTTTATATAAGTTCTAATTTCCTGATTTGTCAAGAGACTTTCTGAAAAGTGATCCTCATTTGATTAATGGTATTCATTAAAATAAAGTAAAAAAATTCAGGTTAAGTTAACCTGGATACCAAAATGTTTCTCTTTTAATTATTTTTCCAATAAAAACCTTTCCATTTCTCCTTATATGGTAAATAAATACATATTGTGCAAACCTTCATGAGACAGAAACTAAAGATGTATCGGCTCTTGAGTAAAAATTATCCACTTTGGGAAGTACAAAGATCTTCTAGATGCTAGGATCTGGACCAGAGGTGAGCACATTTCTCCTATAAAGGGCCAGAGAGTAAATATTTTCTGCTCTCTAGGCCAGATGGTCCTGTAACAACGATTCAATCCTGCCACTGTAGCAGGGAAGCAGCCATACACAGTACATGCAAATGGATGTGGCTGCATTCCAATGAATCTTCAGTTCTAAAGGAACAATTTTACTCATAAATGTTTTACCACTGCATCCCTGGCACCTAGCCCAGTGTCTGGCAAACAGTGATAATAAACAACATTTACTAACTATTCACTATGTGTCAAGCAATCACCTAAGAGGTGCACAGGTATCATTTCAGTTCAATCTAACAACCTTAATGAAGTAGGTATTATAGGGATCCTGTTTTATACAAACTGAGGCACAGAAATGTTAAGTAACTTGCGTAAGGTCACGTGGTCTAAACCAGGAGATGAAGTCAGACAACTAAACAACCCACTCATTAAACATTAAACCACTGTTCTACTGCCTATGTGCTTAATAAATATTAACTTATGAATAATACCAAATGTTTCTAATTTACTTTAAATTTGAATGTAATTCCATCATTAGGCAGCCTTTTAAAAATCTCGTATTTTAAAAAGGTTTCTTACTCAAGAGAAAATTTCAAATTTAAGTATCTGTAAAAACCTAATAGACAAAAAAACAAACTTATATCATCCCATCTTCTGAAATCAAATATCTTCTCTGGAATAAAGTTTAAAAAACTGTAAAAGACTAATTTAATTTTAAAAACATGTATTTTGCATTTCTGAACCAAAGGTCATACCTTAAGAGATTTCTCCTGTTTAAGATGTTAAAGTATCTTTAGTGGCCAAACCAACTAAGACTACCCCAGTTAACTGCTTTGATAAGTCAAAGCCAGAACAGGAACAACAAACCGAAGGAGGTGCATCTCTGAGAAACCAGTTAGCCGCAACAAACAAATTCAAATACACATATCATTTGCCTAGCAACCTTAACATTTTTGTACTGATAAGAATGCAGGTGACCTTTGAACAAAGCAGAGCTCAGGGGCACTGACCCTTGTGCAACTGAAAATCCAGCTGTAACTTTTGACTCCCCCCAAAAGCCTCACAATGAATAGCCTACTGTTGACCAGAAGCCTTACCATAATATAAACAGTCTATCAACACACATGTTGTCCATATATTATATCCTGTATTCATACAATAAAGCTAGAGAAAAGAAAATGTTATTAAGAAAACTGTAAGGAAGAAAAAACACACTTACAGTACCATATGCATTTACGGAAAGAAATACACCTGTATGTGGACCTGTGCAGTCCAGACCTGTGTTGTTCAAGGCTCAACTGTGTATAAGGATCTTCTGTGGACTTGGGACAATCTTGAAGTCAGATAATACAGAACTTTCAGAATCAATTTTAATGATCAGGAGGAGAAGTTTAGGAGTATGTTGACACACTAAGAAAAAGAACTATTACCAATGTAACTGGACATTCAGAATTTTCTACTATGAATGACAGAAAGAGTGGTTTTTGTGTTATTACAGAACACCTATTACCTGTTTAGGCATACTATCTGCAGTCAAGTTTTTAAATACTGTTTATAAGGAAACTGAAAGTTCTGACTTCTGAGGTTACTAGTTTTTGCCTCCTTTCACTTCAAACAGTAAAAGTAATGTGAAACCTTTTTACTTTTATACAGGATACCAACAGTTTTGGTATCCTTTACACTTTCCATAATACAAAAAGCAAAAACTAAAAATACATCTAAGAAATGGGAGTGTAACAAGCATATGTGACTATTTAAATCCTTATCCAAAGATGTGCTTATTAATTTTATAGAGAGGGGAAGAAAAGGAGAGAAACATCGCTGTGAGACAGAAACGTCCATCAACTGCCGCCTGTAAATGTTCCAACCAGGGACCAAACCTTCGACCTGGGCACGTGCCCTGAATGGGAAAATCAAACCCACAACCTTTCAGATTATGGAGCCACACTCCAACCAACTGAGCCACACTGGTCAGGGCCAATCCTATACAATTTTAAGTTTCAAGTATTATGAGTTCATATTTAACTAAAAATCCTAATTTTCTGTTAGTCTTACAATGGATGGGTATCTTTATGTTTTTATTAATCTACTTACTTCTTAGTCACCTGTCTTTTATTCTTAGAAATTCTGCTGTTACTTGCTTTAATTCTGATCCCTTTTGCAGAACTAACGTACAGACACCATCCTTTATCAATCTTTGTTAGCAGGCATGACCTTTTAGTGTGTCCATGCCCTTAATTTGGTTGATAGCATCAAGCTTTTCCTTCACATGTTATTCTGCCCTCATGCTGAACTAAAAACTGACAGCCCTTTTTTCTTAGTACCTGTTAACCTAGAGAACTGAATCAAAATTGAACTGAATTTGGGCTTTATTTAAAGCAAAGCAGAAAACACTTAGGAATTCTATTACTAGAATAAATATCTGAGCATGGAAATCACCTATACAGTTATTCCTACACATGTGATACAATGTGGCCTTCACAGAATGCAACTTCCCACCATTTTTTCAACTTTCACCTGGAAGGAATAGAGAAATAATCTCCAGAGGCATATATTTATAAAGGAGAATTACATAATATGACTACCATGACATAAGTATAATAATCACAGTATTTGGTTATTTTACATACAATACATTATCTTAGTACCTAAACTATGTCCATTCTTGGTGTAGAAGCAGGTATTGTTGATAAGGTTAACACAACAACCAATGACATCACCAGTCGTAAACGTTGGTCCATAAGGTTGTCCCGTTCCAGAAGAACAAAATGAATGTCCGTCATCCCCATGATAACCATATGAATGCTTATCCCAGCCTAAAGAGAAAGTATTTACAATGAAATGTAAAGTTCCTTCATGCTATAGGTATTCACTAAGATGATAAAATAAGCAAGAGCAGCACAACAGACATGAGATAAAATTCCCAAAGGTACATACAAACTCTCAACAATTACACTACATAATTTTTATATTGAAGTACTGCCTATAACATTAAGGAAAATAAATTCAGCACACAGAACACTAGAACATGTATTAAACAGAGAGGTCTCCTACCAGAAAAAAAAAAGCAAGACAGTTTTCATGCATATTTCTTTCGCTAATAGACCAAAGAAATTCTGCTTTGATTTGGTTTTCACAGACACACACACAGTTTAATATAAAGTAGATTCTTCTGTTCTGCTTTCTATCTTCAAAATGTTTCCTCCAAAATTACTTTTAAACATTAGTAAATAAAACACTAGAAAATATAATCCAAATATAACTTCCATGTGATTAATGGTTTCAGGAAACAGTCCTGCCATTTGGACTCACACCTTCCTTAGTATACTTTTCACATCAGGCCTACACTCCCAGAATATAAACAACTGAAAACGGGTTAAAAGCCAAGCATGTGTTGGTTAGCAAACAAAACCAACCACACCCAATAAAATATTTAAAACTAATATGACTATGTACTGGAAGTTAAAAATATCAAAAAACAAAACAAAAAAAATGCATGGTATATATGTTTTGCCGAGTAGCATAAAATTAAGTTTATTATAAAAACTCAAGCTTTTACTTTCAACCTATAGTATAACTGGCAAAAATACAAAATATATATCAATGTAATTAACTATTTCAAGTTATTAATTAAAAGTTTAGCCACAAAGAGCTATGAGACTGTACTATAGTTCAATTACTACTGTACCTGGTAGTCTATTCATGTTCACGCCTTGAGCAGAGAGACCAATTCCCATGTAACTGTTAAAAAAAAAGGAAGGAAGGAAGGGAGGGAGGGAGGGAGGGGTAGGGGGGAGGGAGGGAGGGAGGGAGGGAGGGAGAGAGGGAGGAAGGAAGGAAGGAAGGAAAGGTTATTATAGCAATACATGTATAAATTACTACACATTCTGAAATATTATCAAAACCACATCCAACTTTAAAATTTATAGGTTACAAAGTTATTACAATTCATTAAATAGCAAAAAAGCAATATTAAGCAACAATAAAACTTGTATCACAGCAAATTCCAATAATCGTTCATAAACACACCCAAAGTATTGGTAAAAATTATGCATTCTATTAACAATAAAAATCTTCCTGACTTATCTACATATAAATATTTAGGATTTAGACTTCTAACAGAAAGTACTGAAGGGCTTGTAGAAGAAACAAAGAAATGTTAAATAAGGAACAAATGTGCATGAAAAAGGACACGGTAAAAATCTAGACCACACATCTACATAAAAGAACATGAATATACACTTGGAAAAATTGTCAACTTCATATAAAAACATCTGAATTCCCTAATAAAATTACACTGAAAAGTATGTACTGTAGGGTATCTACAGATTGGTTTTCTAAAAGTGTTCTGGCAAATTGACAAAAGTGACTTAAACATGAGACTCTAAATAATTAATTTATGAAACTAGAAGAACAAAATTATCTCCATAGAAGAAATACAAGAGGAAAGGTAATTATTAGGTGTACAATTCACTTTAAAAAGTTATAAGTATTAAAAAATCTGATAAAGGTAGTTCAGAAAAAAGTCTAGAACAATACACATGTAAGTACAGATGCAAAAACAAAAACTAAATAAAAGAGCAACTGAATCCAACTTGCTAAAAAACTAATTGTGATTGTATCAAGATTTAAAATGGCACTTGACAAATTTTAGCTACCATTCTTAATAAAAACTCAAGATAAAAATAAAAGGAAACTATTTAAATATGGCACGCATTTTTACAAATTGATTAAGAGCAAGAAAGATAATCAACAGTGAAACACTGAAGCAATTTCTATCAAAATCAGGACCATGGAGATGCCTACAACAGTTAAACACTGCTTTGAATGTTTTACATAATTTAATAAAATTAGAAAACTAAATGACCTGTAAAACTGTAAGAAGATATAAAATTATCTTTTTTTAGTAGTTGTGATTCTAAAGTGTTTAGAATTAATGAGGAATTTTGGCAAAATAACTGGATATAAGAAAAACACTTTAATTTCTTTTCTAGTAATAAAGAAAGTGGTGTCTGTATATAATATCAATCACGGTAACTAGAGGAAACCATTAAACAAGAATAAAGATCTCATGTAAGGCTCAATAATGATATATTAAAAGCCATAAACAAATGGGTACACTATGTATCTGGATGATTTGACAACATTAAATGGGGATGTTTCCAAAGTTAATAAAGACATGTAATGAGATTGAAAATAGATTAGAAATGATTTTCTTAAATTGGATAATATAATTTTGAAGTTCATATGTCAAACTATAGATTTTTTATCAAACATGAAATTTCTTTAAAAAATAACATAGTTTCTTGCCTATTAGATATTAAAATTCAGTTATGTGAATTCACAAAAGCAGTATTACTAAAAGAGCATGTGTCCAGTGAGACAAGAGTGACACAACATTAAGGAACAACACTGAGATGTCTAGTCAGGAAGATCCATTAAGCGTGTATTGACTTTAGGACTTCAGCCCCTTTGTTCCAAATCCAACACAGAGTATAAGTATTTTAAAAAAAAAAAAAGACAAGGAACAAGTCAATCTTTGAGAAGAAACTCAAAGCTGTGAGCAGGGGCACAGCTATGTCGAGGGGAAAAAGAAAGTACTAGCCTCCTGACTAGTATCTGAATGAAGCTGTTGAATGGATCGGATCAATGGTGAATTCTGAAATACTACTATCACCTTGAAGAAAGAACCTGGAAGCTGTAATGTAGACCTGGTTTTAGACTAGAGGCCCAGGGGTTAGAAAGCAAGTACAAAGAGTAATAAAGAGAAAATAAGTATAGAAAAAGGTGGAAAAAAAAAGTAAACTTCCTGTTAAAATGAAGCCCCAAAACCCCAAATTCTAAAATATACAAAACAAAATATGTCAGGCTGAACTCTGGTCAAGATGGCAGCACAGATAAATACAATATTTTCCTCCTCCCACAACCACGTCAAAATTACAACTGAAAAACAGACTAACCATCATTCAAACATGCTTTGAAATCTGGCTGAATGGAAACCCTACACCTGGGGAATTAAAGAAGAAGCCGCATGGAGACTGGGGGAGAGGCGGAAGAAGCTGGTCCCACCACCATCACAGCACCTAAAAACCACAAGGGGTATCTTAGCTGCAGAGGAGGCCCCTGAGAAGTGAGGAGTGCTAGCCCCACACCACGCACCCCATCTCAGGGTTCCAGTGCCAGAAAAAGAAGTCCCCATAACTTCTGGCTGTAAAAATCAGCAGTGATTAAGTCACTGGGAGACAGACAGTTTCTGGAGTCTCACGCAGTTCCCATTAAAGGGCTTACACATAAATCAGTGGGACTAACTCCCTCTGACCTCCAGCACCGGGGTAGCATAGCAACCTGAAAGACACCAGAGACATACAGGGAGAAAACCAATGGTCAGCCATCAGGGCGAGAGCTGGGAGTGAGGAGGGGAGCTTTCTCCCAGGCAGAAATGCTGGCGGAGGCCACTGTTCCTTTGATGATGAGCCCTCTCCACACAGAGCTAGCAGGTGAGCAGCATATGAGTCTCCACCATCAACCTGGCTCACACTATTATTTACCCTACCACACCCAACCTGTGGGCCCACCGAAGCTGTTTCTGGGGACTTTTCCATACGGAGGCCATTTTTGGCTAATGCTTCAGATTTTCCTAAAATCTCTCAATAAGCAGCATTGTACTAATCTCTCAGTACACCCCACATCTCTCACCAAATGTCCCCAGCCCTAACACCAGCAGTAGCTGGCCTTAGTTTGCAGCTTGCCATTACCTGGGCACCTCCAAACCCAGTACAAGTAGTAGCCATCTGCAGATGGCATTGTAACTCATGCCAGATGGTTCTGGGCAGAACGCAGGTGGAGGCTGACCTTGTTCTACACCTCCCTGGAGGACCCAGTGACAGTGCAACCAGTGGATAGCTTCAGACCACATCAAAGCATCATCAGCCAACCACCTCCACAAGTGATACACCCAAGGGGTAGACTCAGTGAGCACCAGAAGCCTGCTGAAATAAGTCCTGCTCTGTAGGGTGGACCCTACACAGTCAATACTTCACAGTGGTTAGTGATTAGTGGTCAACACCAGGCCTTGCAGCTAATTGGCCTAAGGGTAAATACCACCTATCAATGGGCCTACAGCAATCAAGGCTCAACTACAACAGCAGGATGTACACAGGCCACATGGGGGGAGGGCAGCATACCTCCAGTGCCCAGCTTGGGTGACTGTAGAGGCTACACTACTGAGTCCTACAAAATACCAACTACATTAGGCAACTCTACTAAGCCTGAGAGATGTTGCAGCTCTACCTAACATACAGAAACGAATACAGAGAGACTGCCAAAATGAGGACACAGACTTGGCCCAAAAGAACAGAACATAACCCCAGAAAAAGCACTAAACAGAATGGAGACAAGCAATCTACTACATGCAGAGTTCAAAATAGTTATAGGGATGCAATAAACTTAGTAAGAACATTAACAGAATAAAAAAGGAACAATCAGAAATTAAGGCTATAGTAACTGAAATGAATAATTAACAGGGAATCAACAAATAGTACAGTAGATGAAGCCGACAACCAAATCAGTGATTTGGAAGACAAGGTAGCAGGAACACACTCAATCAGAGCAGCAAAAAGAAAGAATTTTAAAAAATGAGCACAGCTTAAGGGACCTTTGGACATGAATTGAGACAATATCCACATCATAAGGTACAGAAAGAGAAGAGAAAGAGCAAGGGATTGAGAACCTATTTGAAGAAATAATGACAGATAACTTCACTAACTTGGTGAAGAAAAAAGACACAAGTCTAGTGACTGCTGAGTCCCCAAAAAAAGATATACCCAAAGAAGTCCACACCAAAACACATCATAATTAAAATGCAGAGGTTAAAACAAAGAGAAAACCTGATAAAGCAGCAAGAGAGTTAGTTATGTTCAAGTGAGCCCCCATAAGACTGTCATATGATTTCTCAATAGAAACTTCACAGGCCAGAAGAGCTTGGCAAGAAATATTCAAAGTGATGAAAAACAAGGACCTACAACCAAGATTACTCTACCCAGTAAAACGTGATCATTTAGAACCAAAGGACAGATAAAATGCTTCCCCAACAAGAAATCACTAATGGCGTTCATTGCCACCACCTAATATTATATAAAACGTTAAAGAATATTCTTGAAAATAAGAAAAAAATTAAAAAGTAAACAGTAACAATGCAATAAATACATATCTATCAACAACTGAATCTAAAAACCAAAATAAACAAACAAGCAGAACAAAAACAAGACTTACAGATACAGAGAATGTTTAACAGTTGCCAGATAGGAGGAGGATTAGAGGAAGGCTGAAAAAAGTGAAGGGCTTAAGTACGAATTGGCTGTTACAGAACAGTCATGGGGACGTAAAGTACAGCACAGGAAACACAGTCAATAATGTTCTAGTAACTAGTATGGTGTCAGATGGGTATGAGATTTAGCGGAATGATCACTCAGTTATGGGATGTCTAATGACTGGGGAGTATATCTGAAACTAACAGAACCATGTATATCAACTATATTTAAAAATAAAGAATAAAATTTTAAAAAGGAAATAAGAAAAAACTATGTAAGGCCAACAAAATATACAACTGGAACATGAATTCATTCTAGATGACATCAATCAATGGACAGCATACAAAAAAAAATTTTAATATATTTAAGATACTTCAAAGAGAAAAAGGTATCACTATCACTGAAAAATACAGTGGAGTACCAACAGCCACA